ACTGATTTGAGACTATGTGCCTAAAAAACACAATTTTCTGCCCATTTTCCTTTTGGACCGGATATTTTCTTTTTGGCAAAGGGTCTGATCACCCATGTACATTGTGCCATTTGTGCAGCCTTTAGTAGTTGTTATCGCTGCTCATTACTTCCTTCACTGATGTGCCCAGGGAGAGGTGGCTGGTTGCTCTGTCAAAGGCATGAAGTTGCCCGGATGCTTCTCTGCTGAGGGTTTGTGCAGTTTCAGTGTTTCTCCTGCCTCCCTCTTCTTTCAGCAGATTCAGACCTGGCAGCCTGTTAAAAAGAGCAAGAATAAGGCAGGCATGCTTCAAGAAACCATGGGAATGAAAAGAGGCTCAGGAGAGGAGATGTGGAGAGAGGTGATGTGTAGAAATTGTGAAAGGGTAATTCTAGTACCTTGAGCTGATTCTCAGCTTTTATATGGGATTTCAACCACGCCAGAAGACCCCGTATGATAGCTCTGCTTTTCCGTGACCTCAGACCATTGAGAAGAGTCACTGGCCTGTGAAATACAGCGAGCTATAGGATGTGCTGTATGGCTTAGTTATATTTTGTGGGTTTTGGTTCTTTCGGTTACCAAATGACAATAACAAGAATTTACAAGAATGTAAATCTTAGCCTAAGCTTTCTCACCAAGACCTCTCTTCCCATGATTTCCTGTCTGCAAGAATCTCTTTCTGCCTCCTATCAGAGCCTTATTCTCATCTGTCAAACCCAAATCAATGAACTGTAGGTTCACTGAATCCTAAGGGACCTTTTCTCTTTCCTGGGTTTACAGATGAGTGAATCTAATGATTATGTCAGCTATTTTGATGGAGCAATTTTAGGATTTATTTTTTTTTGAATCCTCACATCTCTCCCATGGCCTGTGCTTTAAGCAAGAATGAGCTTATGGATAGAGAGCCAACTGCTGAGCCACATTCCAGTGCTCCCATGGTGGTACATGCTGTGTAACTTTTATGATAATTTGAAAGTACTTCTGGCTTAAAGTTATCTGAGACTAGGGCAATACTCTCAGTGCTAAAATAGGAAAATGCTGAAAAGAGTGCATCTGGGACCAGGTGTCTGCAAGTTCATGGTGAAGTCAGAGTTGTGGCTCTCCACTGATGTGCTTTTTGTAACCATTTTCCATTCTCTTTTAAACCTATTTTGGGATAAACTCTTTTATCTTCTAATGACTTGAAGTGAGAAATAAACACACATCCAGGATACCAGTTCTCTTCAGTAGAAAAAAACTCTCCAGAATGTTCTTTAATCTCATTGTCTTTGCACTGGAAATCTACTGACTATGTAAAACTCTTTAGCATAAAATATTCATTGCAGGCTCAGCAACAGCAAATAATAATTTAAAAACTGATCATAGCTTATGTTGAGTTTCTACAGTGCTTCCCAGACTAAGACCTGTTTTATAGGAAGCACCTAACTGAGCTTGAAAACTTCTTCTAAGGCAGTGAAAAATGAGTGAGAATACCTAAAGCATAAGTATGGAGATGTGAAGTGACCTGTTGGGATGCTGCTGCAGAAAGGAAACTGAAGAGGCAGAAATATCAGACTTCTAGGCACTGCCCAGTACTTGTCCATGGGACAATACTCCTCAGCCTATAGGTGGAGGACTGTGTTTTTTCTTGTCATTTTCTGGACTCAGGAGAAATAGCAGTATTAATTGGTTCCTCTCTCATCTTCTCCTCCAAGAATGCATTCTTTATTTTATTGCTGTTATAACCAGAAAGTATTTTCAAGGAATTTGGGGCTCGTGTTATTTGCCAGTATACTCATAGACTGTGACAGTGGATCAGTGCAGTAAGTGATGAACATCTGCATGGGGGCAGGAATAAAAAATCGTGACTGAAGGAGGACAGGAAACTTTTAAACCAGTGCTGCCACTGGAGACATTGTAAAATAAAATTGCACTGACCACAGAGTCAAGATTTGGTAATGCACCAGAAATCATGTGATGACATTCTTGCCTGTGTGTGTCACGTCTCCAGAGAGCACAGGGTTGGCTGAAGCAGCCAATCTGGTTCATGAAAAGTTAAGGAGTTTGTACACATTTTTTCATTTCATCTTAGTTTAGGGATTTTTTTTCAATGACTTTTAAATTCCTCACTAGTGACTTAGAACTTTGTAGATATGTTGCTATTCCTTATTTTTATAGAATATATTCTCATCAATTGATCTTAGATTTGTTCCCAAGTGCTTTTTTGTTAGAATTATAACAGACATCTTAATAGGCATATTAAATGGTAATTGCTGCAGTTAGTAAATTACTGAGCTATGTTATTGTTCAGTGTTATATAACTGATATTAAAATAAATAACGCAAAACAATCATCTAAGATTAAAATAAAATTAAAATAAAACAAACAAGAGTAATGAAATCAACGGTGAAATAATACAGTTCTTTTGAAATGCCATCTCCAAGGAATAGGAAGAGAAGAAGTTTATTGGGAATAGTTACATGGATTCACTAAGGGGAAATCATGCTTGACCAATCTGGTGGCCTTCTGTGATGTCATCACTGGCTGGATGGAGACAAGTTGATATTGTTTATCTTGACTTCAGCTAGGTTTTTGACACAGCCTCCCACAGTATCCTCGTAATGAAACTTAGAAGGTGTGGGATAGATGAGTGGATGGTTGAGAACTGGCTGACTGGCTCAGAGTTGAGATCAGTGGCACAGGGTCTGATTGGATTGTACTAGTGGAGTACCCCAGGGGTCAGTACTGGGTCTGATCTTGTTCAGCATCTTCAACTGTGTGGATGAAGTCCACCCTCAGCAAGTTTGCTGATGACGCAAAGCTGGGAGGATTGGCTGACATGCCAAAGGCTGTGCTGCCATTCGGTGAGAGCTGGGCAGGCTGGAGGTTTGAGTGGAAGGGAATCTGATGAAGTTCAACAAAAGCAAGTGTAGAGTCTGGCACCTGGGGAGGAATAATCACAAGCAACAGTACAGTTTAGGGGATGACCTGCTGGAGAGGACCTCTGTGGAGAAGGACCTGGGGTTCCTGGTAGACAACAGGTTGGCCATGAGCCAGCAGTGTGCTCTTATGGCCAAGAAGGCCAACGGCAAATATGGAAGAACTTCTTTACAGTCAGCACTGGATCAGGTTGCCCAGAGAGGTTGTGGAATCTCCTTTGGAGATTTTCAGGACCCATCTGGATGCCTTCCTGTGTGATCCACTGTGGGCAACCTGCTTAAGCAGGGGGTAGGACTCCATGATCTCCGGAGGTTCCTTCCAAACCCTGTGATTCCGTGATGCAGTAATTTGGTAATTCTGTTTTGCTTCACTGACCTTTCTTTATTAACTCAAAGTGTCATTTTCATGTTTTCTCCAACACTAATGCTTCCTGTTAGCTGCCAAAGATCTCTTTATAACTGTGTCACTATCTATTGAATCTACGTAGGTTGCTCTTACAACTATGCCTCCAATTTATTTCTGTGCAAACTGCAGCATATATGAAAAGCACAAGAACACTATTTGATAGAGAGAATTCTCAGCTGCAAAACACTTTTTTTCAACAAAATTACCACCATTAGCTGTGCATTTTACTAGCAATGAACAAGATCTTGCATGCTATGCCCATAAAAATCTGTACCAACAGACGTAAGTCACTATTTCAGACCTGATATAATTGCTAACAAAATGTTGCCCAGTCTTTCTTTCATCAGCTCAAACAGGTCTAAGTCAGAAGGTACCAAATCTGGCTATACAGGGGGCATGATAGGACAGTCCAGCCCAGACTGCCAACATGCTCAGCAGCCTTCAAAGTGACATGGGGCCTGGCATTATTGCTTCACAAGAGAAAGGTTTGAGCCTTCAGCTTAATCAGCATCACGATGTAGTGTTCTGAGTTGATGGTTTGTGCGGGTTCCAGGAAATCCAGAAGGATCTCCATTTTCCCATCCTGAAAGACAGCGCACATCACTTTACCCACTAAAGGCTGTATCTTGAGCTTTTGTTTCAGTGGGAAATTCACATATCGACACTCCATGGGCTGCTCTTTTGACTCTGTCTCATAGTGGTGACACCATACCATCTCACCAGTAACGAAGCAGTCCAGGAAACAGTCACCCTCAGTTGATAGGTCCTGGCAAACTTGCATAGTGTTCTTTCTGTTCCTGCCTCACCATTCTATCTGGCACAAACTTTGCATTATTCCAGTGTTACCACCATTGTTTCCAACATATTGAAGCTGAGGTGCAGCTCTGTACACAGTTCCCTGGTCATAACCTGCTGATTTGTGCAGGTGAGCTGATGGAGACATTCTTCATTTCATGATGTGACAGCTATGCACCTATCTGGAACATGGCTTGTCTTTCACATCGCTGTCACCACTGCTGAAATGTGCCACCCAGCACCTCTGTGTTCACATCTACTGTTTGATCTCCATAAACATTCAGAAAGCATCACTTAATATCAATTGGGTGCAAAGTTTTTCAGCGTGGAGGAATTCAGTTCCACATCTTTGCTTCAGATGCAATTCCATGTCAGACTGTATTTTGATGGAATGCCCCTCTGCTGCCATTTATTGCACAGAACAACAGAAGAAAAGTTAAAAAAAAAAAAAAAGAAGAAGAAAAATGTGCAATGCAAGACACCAAATGCAACCCCCTTTGTCCTATTGTGCTACCTAAAGGCTAAGCTGAGATGTTTTGTTATTTTTCTGCTTTGCTGGAACCAACCAAACCTTCCATCAGTACAGTTTCTTTTCATTTCACTGGATGGTCTCAACTGATTGAATGGTTAAGATCAGAATGTTGAAGCTACTGGAGAGGGTGGTCATCTGTGAGTGATGTGATAGCTAGATGGTTAAATGTGCACATTTTTGATACTGCAGTCATGTTTGTTGTGGTAATCATTTTTATGCAAAAGAGAAAAGATAAGAGAATTTTGGAAGAAAACAAGAATTTTCTAGGTATTCTAGGAAGTGTGTTTGCATGATGTTTCCACTAGTTTATTTTTTGTTGTTGTTTCTGCAGCAACAGTCTTTAACACCATTCTGCATGAGCAAGCGGATCAGACCAGATGATCTCTGAAAGTCTCTGCCAACCTCAACCATTCTCTGATTCCATGTTAAAATGTGCAATGTAAATAAGCAAGCAGATGTTCAGAATTCCCCCCTCTCTTTTCCTGTTGAAAATCTACTGTCTTAGTTCTATGATTATTTGGACCCATTCCTGGAAATCTTTTTAAGTTAAAAATTCCGGTAATGCTGTCTTGCTGCTTGTTATCCTCATTCATTTGCAGCTGGAAACAAAAGTGCCTTGCTGACACTTACAATACAGATTAACAGCGACTTTAAATGCCTGTGACTTCAGCTGTACATGTTCACACAAGATGTTTTTAATAGAATGAGTTGGAAGCGACCTTACAGTCCATAACACTGCCAGAGACAGCTCTGACAGTCACTATCTCAGCCTGCCCAGAGCCCCATCCAATCCGGCTTTGATCAAATGCTTCCAGGGACAAGACATCCACAGCCCCTCTGGGCAACCTGCACCAGCGCCTCACCACACTGAGTAAAGAATTTCTTCCTAATATCAAGTCTAAACCTTCTTTTAGTTTAAAGCCACTACCTTTGTCTTAACACTACATGCCTCTCCTTCTTTTTTGTAGACCCATTAGGTACTGGAAGGCTGCAATGAAGTATCCCTGCAGCTTTCTCTTCTCCAGGCTTAACGAGCCCAGCTGCCTCAACCTTTCTTCATAAGAGAGGTGATTAAGCTGCTGACCTTTGCGGCTCTCCTCTGGAGCTGCTCCAACAGCTCCATGTCTTTGTTATGCTGCAGACGCTAGAGCTGAATGCAGCACTCCAGGTATGATCTCACAAGAGTGGCATAGAGAATCAACTCCCTTGACCTGCTAGTTAGGTTTCTTTTCATGCAGCTCAGGATACAACTGCCTTTCTGGGCTGCAACTGTTCATGTTGTTGTCTCATGTTCAGTTTTTTGTCCACCAGTACCCTCAAACCTACCTCCTCAAGGCTGCTCTCCACCACTCACTGCCCAGCCTGTATTCATGTTTGGGATTGCCCTGCAATCCAGGTGCAGAGCCTGGTATTTGACCTTACTGAGCTTGCATTTGGTGCATTTTGAGAGGGCTCACCTCTCAAGCCTGTCCTTGCCCCATTGGATGGCTTCATTGTCCTTCAATATATTGACTTCACCACTCAGTGTGCTATTGATCTCAAACTTGCTGAGGCTGCACTCAGTCCCACAGTACATGTCACTGAGAAAGATATTGAAGGAACCAGCCTCAATAATGACCCTTAAGAAACAGCACCACTAGTCTCCTCCTTGATACTGAGCTGTTCCCAATGGTTTGAATGCAGCAGCTCCACCTACCATTTCTCTTAGGACCCTGTGTTGTACGTCATTAAGTCCCACAGATTTGCACACATACAAATTTCTTAGATGATAGTTTTGAATGTGATCTTCTCCTACAGCAGACAGTACTTCATTTTTCCATTCCATGTATTCAGGTGCTGTGAATTGGGCACTGGTAGTAGTAAGGGAGCCAGCATGGCAACGGAGATGGCAATAACAATAAACACAGTTGTTGGACAACAGTCAGCTTGGTCCCAATTTCACAGGGATAGACACAATGTTGAAATGAAATCACCGTTTCCCCATGGTGAAGTCTTCTTTTCTCGTCTATTATGATCACAGCACTTTATTTTAGGGATGAGACAATGAATTTGGGGAAATTTGAGGTAATCCTTGGGATATAATCCAGTCTTTATTGTTTTTACTACATTCTACCCATGGCAAACAACCACTGAGATATTTGATTGGGTCCAAGATTGTCATTTTATGATGCAATAAAATATGTTGATGTAATTGAAGCATCTATTGTGTGAGTAAAGGACAAGACGATTAAGTTGTAAAAGTCGCATGGTGACAGAAATGTAGCTCATTTACTTTTATTTTTCTTTTTTAAATGCAACAGTTGTGTTAACTAATCTTTGGAATCATGCCCAGTTTGAGAAGTAAAATTGATCCAAGTGAGCATACGCTCATACATAGTTGCTCTATTCAGAAATAAAATTCTGCATAGCTGCTTTTGGTCCAACAAATTTGTTTGGGATATTCCCCTAGTATTTTGTTTTTAGAATTACAATTTAGAATTATATAAGCAAATTCTCTATCAAGAGTATTGATTCCACAATTGAAAGAGTGCAAATAAAGGCAAGTAACAAACTGAGAATGGAGTAAAACACCTTGGTGATGACTTGGTGTGCATTCAAACACAGTTATCAAAGTATAACATAATCACAAAGGGGAATTAGAGTGAACTGACCGGAGAGGTTGCTCCTGAAGATGTAAAAAAGGGGGTAAGATGGGGGCAAATGTTTCTTTGAAAGGTGCTCTGCATTGCTTTTCCCATTTAACAATATATTTCTGGTCCAGAGAAGCAGTAGCCAAATTCTGTATACCCAAATAATGCCACATTAATGGCACTGCTGTCAATAGTCATTTCTTGAAGAGGTTGCACCCACTCTGTGTCTTATTACATGCTGGCCAGGGATTGCAATGCAGAGACTGGCAGAAAGCTGGTGTGAGATCTCTGTTTTGCCCTGTGTGCTTCCCAAACCAAAATGGAAAGGTGATGATATGTGAAGAAAGGAAATACTTAACAGCCCAAAAAACAAAAATATGGAAAGCAGAATAAGAACAAGACTGAATAGACTTATGTTTGGTAGAGGGCTCCACTTGGGGTTGTTAATGTTTTGCAAAGGCAGCCATCCTGGGATCTGAAGAAACGTCTGTAATGGTAAGCCCACATCAAATGAGTGTGATGCCAGTAAGCAAACCCAAGGAAAAGAAACGAGGTTTCCAGCTCATGATACTGCATGTTAAACATGATTTGTCAGTTCCACCTATGAGTTTTGTGAATCTTAAAAACATCCATATGGGTGACCATTGAACTACTGCCATTTGGATACAAGTGTCTGCCTTTTCTTTGAAATATGTTCTTTCTGCTTTTACCAATGTCCAGAAAATGTTGAGTGTGTCAGTAAAGTATGAGTGGTGTTATTCAGTGCTCTCTGAAAATATTCTGCCATAAATTGGCCAGCATTGATATCACTTTTCACCAGCCCTGGAATGACTTTCATGCCTTCTGTGGTTCATGCCAAAATCATTCTATGTTTCTGTAATTTCATTTTTCTTGTTACTCATACGTCTGCATTTTGAAATGTCTTGATTTATGGAAAGGCTCTACTGAGGCTCAAGGTATGCATGCTCAATTTCCACAGAAGTTCAGGGTGTTGCTGAGATGTAAAGACACACACTCTCTGTGCCAAGCTCAGTCTTTGTGTCACCTACTGCACTGAAATAGCCTTTGCTCTGAGATATCCGCTTGTAACCTCTGAGGTGCCATCAGCACAAGGAGAGTATGGAACAGGAGCCATCTTAAAGGGAAGGAGAACACTTTGTTATAGTACAGAAAACAAATACGTCACAGTTCACATTTTTATTTCACCTGATAAGGGGAAAAGTCCTGGAATAAGGGACCGAGGGAATATTAAATGAGTAGCTGGACTCATGGGGTGCTTGAAAGGAATAATCAAAGCAAGAGGATTTGATGCTTCTGAAAAAGAAACACTACAAAGCATAGGCTGTTCTTCACGGAAATCATTTGGAGTGTCCACAAAATGGGTGTGGGTTGGTAATAAAGGATGATCTTGCTTGTGAAGAATTCAATAGCATCCCACGAGATCCTTAGAACAAAAGTTATTTGAAAATTCCTTTTTGTAAGTAAGCCTACCATAATCCTGTTATAGTTATGTTGGACATCTGCTTGGGCTTTGAGGATTACCTCTTCCTCAGGGCCAGCTTCAGGGTGTAGAACATGAATCCTGTGGGATGCATATTTTTAGTTTGGGTCGAAGTTGTGGTTATGAGTGTAGGGTCACTTCATTCTCATAAGGAATGACCCCAGAGAAGAAAGTAAGACCCACTCGTAATGTTAGGGTCAGGGACTCTAATTATGGGCACATATGTGATTCTATCCATTGTTGTTCTCATGTAAGAGCCCTTTCTTCTGTCACAGCACAGAAGTTTCCCCCGAAGAGGCCTCCATCTGTTCTCTTCTTTCTGCCATGTACTTATGTAGACGTAGGTGTTGCAGCGAGGCTGTTTAGATAGAATGTGATTCTTTCCTTTCCCCAGACCAAAAAAAAAAATGCAAGATCCATGTACTGGTCCACTCAGAAGCAGGTGTGACTGGCAAGAGGCCAAGAACATTCTGTGATGCTAACAGTAAGTGATAGAAAAACAGGGAGATCTAGCAGTCTTCTGGTATTTAGAGACTGATGCGATGCCGAGTCAGTATGAACACAGCAATGCAGATAACATGGTGAACCAAAGATGTCCACCAGTATAAGAGTGAATCCCATCTGTGTCAAAATACACTAGGTGGTGATGTTCTTATAAGATGCATCGGATGTTCCCTCCAGGTCAGTGAATGGTTTGCCCACCATTTCCATTAGTACCTGGCTGATACTTTAAATAGCAATAACGGAATGCTAGTAAGACAAGTGATAAGAAAAGGACGGGCCTTATCTAGTAGGTGGCAATCCTGTCTTCCATCCCAAGACATTCTATGATTCTGTGATTATCCAGTTTGTCATTGAGCAACTTCTCCATGCGGAGCCCAAGGATGCAGATTTTAAGAAGTGGAGCAGCTGGCTGATGGAATGTGGCTCAGTCATCATAGCAGATCACCCCAATGGCTCATTGGGCAGTGGGTGGGAACATCTCAGGGCAGACCTTCTCCTGAAGAGCTGGCACAGCAACACAGCACTCCACAAAGCCTGGAGCTTTGAACGCTTTTTAAGATTGTACTTGCTTTTTCCTTGAAAATGGGTTAGGTTTATCTGCCTGTTAGGATTCTCTCTATTTTGTCTCTGCTGGATTTGCTAGTTTTAGAATGAAGAGCTCATTACTGTGCTTCACTGACATCATGACTTCTGCCTTCAGAACAGACTGATAACAGATACTGTATGCATCCAAACTTTCTTAGTACAAACTTGCTTTAATTTTTAAATTAACCTGTCACAGCCTACGGTCACTTCTCATCTTGTGACTTCTGTAGAAACATGAAGAATTTGGGATCATCCTTTCTGTGATTTGTCTTTCTGTCCCTCGTAGAGATTTGGAAATTTGATGCTGTAGATTTTTTATTAAATATGGTTTCCTCATCTTGACTCTGTCTAGTAAGCAGCTGGACTCTGTTCAACCAGAAATCAGAGGAACCCGAACTGGAAACATTTCAGAAATGAGAGGACACATGCATCCTTGGTCCAATAGTGTTGGTCTAACTCCATGAGCAAGAAGTAACCCACGGTATCTCAGTACATCGGTTCCTCAAATGTTAGCACACCATTCCTCCTAGAGAGATGATAAATCTCACCATATCTAGCACTCAGGGGACATATACCACATTCCTGGTTCTTTTCAGTAAGCTGCCACAAAAATACCAGGCCTGTGGTAGCTGGTAAAGCACTTAATAAAAAACATATTTGAAAATGCTGCCATTCATCCTATGGAGAAGTATCAATCTATTGATATTTATTGCCATGAAAAAAATCCACTTGCAAGTGATTTCTGGTCAAATGTTTGCTTGGTCTCACCAAACAGAAGCTCAGCAATGCTCGCACATCTAGAGAAAAGCTGAATACATACTCAGGTTGTTTCTAAATGCACTGACAATCAGAAAATGTTAAACTTTAAAAAAAAAAACAACAACAAAACCTCCCATTTGAAGGGAGCTTCACATGCTGCAAATAATTCATGTATTCATTCATGCTTTTCTTATGAAATTTATTTTTTTCCCCTCTTGTTAAACAATTGGTGAGAACATGATGTACCTGTTTCTCATTTATCCTCCCTTGCAAGACTCGGTTTTGTTGGTCCTACTAATTGCACATAACAACTTAGAAGCCAGATAATAGGTAGAGTTATCAACTACAGAAAGAAATTACTTATAGAAATACAGCCTTCTTAATTCCATCTCGGACAGCCTGTTGTAATTTTCATCTCCTGCTCATATTCTGGGCAGTGGTTTTCACATCTGCTCTGTTTACTTCTTGCTTACTTTCCATATTGTTCTGTGGAGCAGCTTGCGTTCTCCGCATATGTTTCTCTGACCCTCCTCAGGGGATGCAATTCTCACTGGTTTCATTCCTTCAGACAAGGCTACAGGCTTCTTGCATGTTTGGGCATCCTGACTGCTGGAAGGAAGCTTCTCCAGCTCAGAGTGCAGCTCTTCCCACTGGACATGATCGCTGTGTTGACGCTCTGTCTTATGGCTCATCACTATCTCATTTTATCCACGCCATCTAGGTGTTATTTATTGTCCTCCACAAGCAGAAGTTTCCAATGAAGTTGTCATAGAATCATTGAATAATTTGGGCTGGAAAGGACATTAAATACCACCCAGTTCTACTCTCCCTTACCATGAGCAGGGACACCATCCACTAGATCAGGCTGCCCAGCTAACAACATGTCCTTCAATACCTCAGTTTTCTATTCCCTCATATACCCTTTGAGTAAAGAATTCCTTCCTTATACCTATACCTACCCCTTCTTAATTTTTAAACTGTTACCTCTTGTCGGGTCACTACACTTTCTGAAGGAGTCCTTCCTCCTCTTTCCTGTAGGTTCCTTTTGTGTGTTGGAATGGTTGCAATGAGCTTGCTTCAGAGACTTCACATCTCAAAGCTAAAATAACCCCAACTCCCTCAGTTCATAGAAGAGGTGCCCAAGCCATCTGATTATCTGTGTGGCCCAGTTTCTTGGTTTTGTTCCACTGCTGAATTTTCTCAGGCAGTGTTTCCCTGGGATTGCTGCTGCTGCTTCCTCTTTGCTCTCAGAGATCCAAACCATTCCATGACAAATCTGAAGTCAGGGAGGCACTGCCAAAAGATCCATAGCTGGTCCAAGGAAACAAGACCCAAATTTACATACAGTTTTTAGCATGTTTTTTTATTCTGTGTGACAGTCAAAGGATGTTCAGTGTTCTGATAATACTGAGAATACCGAGGAACATCTCTTAATCAAAGCATGAGTTAAAAAAATCTTCAATGACAGTAACAGACTTTATTGCTAATAATGGCAGCCTTTCAAACATCCTTGCCTACACAAAAGTTTTGAATACAGGTGTATGATCTTTATGGTGAAAATACTTTTCTTTCACATGCAGTGACTATCATGCAATGGCACCTCACTTCAAACCATTCATTAATTTGAGTTTCAGATATCAGAGTTTTTGATAGTATTCCAATGTTTGGTCAGATTTAACCGTTAGAAAATGGAAGACTGCTCCACATTGCCTTTCTCTACCTAGACTGCTCAGTTAAGACAATCTTGTCAATACAAATAAGGATTTATGCTCAGTTGTGGCTGTGCTGCCTTGTAACTTGAAATCCACCATCAAATTATAGAGCATACTAACTCTTTTTTTCAGAACAGGGACAATCTCATCTTGATGTTGTTTTCATTTTTTTCCTCCACCTTTCAAGTCTAATTCTGATTTCTTGATAACTAGTAACACCCATGTCACCTTTGAAATCAAAGACAGTCAGCAGGAGGTTGGAAAAAGATGATCTTAAAGGTCCCTTCCAACCCAAACCATTCTATGATTCTGTGATTCCATGATCTTGTAGGAGGACATAAGGAATTTATCCCAAGCCCATGAGAAAGCTGAGGACTTCTCCAAGGTGTCAGAAGTTATGGTCATACTTGGATCATTGCACTTTGTCAATGAGCAAAACAGTAGAAGCCTACAGCTTCAGCATCTCCTAAGGAATAGGTTAGATTTTACCAGGCATTACAGTATATCATCATTGTCAAATTACTGGATCAGCTGAAGAAGGAAAATAACCAAAAATACAATCAGGAAAACAAGCAGCACAAGTTAAATAACAAGTGGAGATTTTATGGACTGAAGTGCAAGTGGTTCACATGGATCCAAGATGCCAAGCAGAAGTGTTGCTCCATGTTCCTAAGCTGGTGTCCTTCAGAGGGGCAGAGCTGTCTGCGTCGTTTCATGGTGGGTGATTTGTTTCAACCTGTAGGTGTGTACTGGAGGCTTCTACAGACTTAAACACAAGTCTCCTGTTTGGAGAGCTACTGCCCAAACAAGAGGCTGTCCTGACAATGGAGTGCCCATCTCCTGATCATAGCCAACAACAGCGTTGGCTTCAGAAAGGTGCTGCTCAGACATCTGAACTCTGCTGGCAGGCTCAGCTGGACAGCAAACTGTGACACTGTGATAGAGGCCGCTCGCACACACTGCACTACATAGCAGCTGTTCTCCTATTTCAAGCAAGTGAGTGCATGTGTTACAACCAGGAGGGGAACCCACAGTTCTGGGTTGATAACAGCCCTAACCCATCAATTGCTTCACTGCATAATTTCTAAATTATTTGGGAAGAAGGTGTTAAACAACACATCTTAAAATACGTGCTGTGGGTCACAACTGCATTGCTTTTATTATGTGTTAATTTAGGATAAAGTAGGTTTGAATTCTCAACTGCAAACAACAGAAAATAAAGTTCTATGGAAACATTAAAGCAAATCCTGCAGCACTCAGAAGGGCCAACATCCTCTGGGGTCTGTGCTGCTTTATTGCTGAGTGGTTCTGCTTGTGATTGCAGACATGGAATGAAACAGCTCATGATTTTTATTTCACCTGCACACTGTTTTAGAGGGTAGGTGTATGAGCACATTTTTACTGATCAGTGTTGAAGCTGTGTCTGGACCTTTTTTGGCTTCCTACAGTGCAGAAAAGATTCACTAGCAAATCTACATGGTGGAAGAGGAAGAAGGACCCTTCCTAAGCACTCGAGAACATTTTCTGTGAAATCCTTTCAGTGATGTGCAGTGGGTGACACTTGAGTTAGTCCAGGACCATGTTGTGGCTATGGGCCCAGGGTCCCCTGGTCTGCAGCACAATGGATGGAGTGGTCTGTTGGAGCTGGTCCTCAAGCCTTACATCAACAGCAAAATAATGGATGCTGCCAAAAGTGCTGGGAGAAAAGGGAGAAACTGTTGACGAACCAGATGAAGAACAGAGAGATGTGAAGATGTGAAGGGGAGAAGTATGAGATGGACTGATTGGAAAGAGCACAGTGGCCGGGAATGGAAAAAGAGAAACAGGCCCAAGGGTGTGGGTGTGGATGGCTGGGGTAAACAGATGGTAAATGAGAAAGATATGGGGAGGGGAGCACAGGAACAGAAACAAGCAATGCAGTTGTGTGAGAGAAAACAGAAGATGGGCCAGTGTGACAAGCCATCCTGCTGGGAAGCTAATGGGTAACAGCAGCAAGGGCGTGGAGAGGAGGAGAAGGATGGCAGATCCCATAGCCAGCTGGCAGAGGGACCCCCGGCCCAATGATGAAAGGCAGGACATCAGTGTCAGATATTTCTGCTGGGACCAGGGACTTTTCTTGGAGGCTCAGAGTTGTTCCACAGGCCTGTAGTGGCCAGCATAAAGAAGGCAATTTCTGCCTCCTGTACATTACAATGGGAAAAGGTCTTCTCGATGGACAAGTGCATTAACAGGGAGATTAGCTTTTGGTTGGGTCTCTGAGGGGAATTCATTCCAGTCATCTCAGCTCCAACAGTGGTAGCAGGACAGACCTCAAGACCCAACTCAACAGCCTCAGTTTTGTGCACAGATCAGTTTGGTATCAGTGGTGGCTGTCGTGCAAACTGCAAGCCCAATGAGATTGATTTGAGTTCAGAACATTAGCAGGGAGAAATCTAAAAAGAAAGAGAGAAAGAAAAAAGAGAGAGAGAGAGAGAGAGAGAGAGAGAGGAGAAGGAAAACCTGCTTCTAATTCAGATTACAAAGTGCCAGTGGTTATGGCACACAAGGACAAGCATTCCTGGCTTCTGCTCTAGCTGATGCAGAGCTCATTGTGCATTAAGAGAGAAGCTGCCACTGAACAAAACAATTGAGAGGGCTTCATGAGGTGACACAAGTTTTGTTTTGCAGTTACTTGCACCCAGCTGTAGCTTGGCAGGCCCCATAGGTACAAGGGGTGTGCGATGGGTCCCTGATTGCTGTGGGACTGAGGAGATGATGTGTGAAAGATGCAAGGAATGAGGCTTTTGGGAGGCAAGTACTCAGAAACCCACTTTGGCTGCACCTTCCCTTTTTTCCCTTTATCTCTTTTCCACTTTTTACCTCCTCCTTCCCCTTTATCACCTCTTTGAAAGGGTTGATAACAGCAGGACAAGGGGAAATGGTTTGAAGTTGAGGGAGGGAAGATTTAGGCTGGATGTCAGGGGGGGAGTTATTTTCGGAGAGAGTGGTGAGGTGCTGGAACAGCTGCCCAGATCCTTGGAGGTATTCAAGGCCAGGTTGGACGGGGCCCTGGGCAGCCTGGTCTGGTATTCAATGTGGAGGTTGATGGCCCTGCATGTGGCAGGGGGTTGGAGCTTCATGATCCTTGAGGTCCTTTCCAGCCCTGGCCATTTTGTGATTGTGTGATTTTTCCCCTTCCCCTTTCTTTTCCCTTTCCCTTCCTCTTGCCTTCCCCTTCTTTCCTTTTCCTTTTCCTTTTCCTTTTCCTTTTCCTTTTCCTTTTCCTTTTCCTTTTCCTTTTCCTTTTCCTTTTCCTTTTCCTTTTCCTTTTCCTTTTCCTTTTCCTTTTCCTTTTCCTTTTCCTTTTCCTTTTCCTTTTCCTTTTCCTTTTCCTTTTCCTTTTCCTTTTCCTTTTCCTTTTCTTTTCCTTTTCCTTTTCGTTTTCCTTTTCCTTTTCCTTTTCCTTTTCCTTTTCCTTTTCCTTTTCCTTTTCCTTTTCCTTTTCCTTTTCCTTTTCCTTTTCCTTTTCCTTTTCCTTTTCCTTTTCTTTTCCTTTTCCTTTTCGTTTTCCTTTTCCTTTTCCTTTTCCTTTTCCTTTTCCTTTTCCTTTTCCTTTTCCTTTTCCTTTTCCTTTTCCTTTTCCTTTTCCTTTTCCTTTTCCTTTTCCTTTTCCTTTTCCGCCTCCCCATACCCAGGGGCTGCCGGGCATCCATCCCATCCCCATCCCCATCCCCATCCCCATCCCCATCGCACCGCCCGCCCACCCCGCCTCAGGTGCAGCCCGGCCCTCGGTCCCGCACCCCGCCTCCGCGCCGCCGACCCGTCTAAGACCCGCGCTGCCGCAGGCGGGGCGCGGCGGCGATGGGTGCCCGCGGCGGTTCGGGGCTGTACGTGGGACGCGGCACCGCCGCTCTGCTGGCCGCGCTGCTGCTGTCGCTGCTGGCCGCGCTGTTGGCTCTCGCCGCTCTGTACGGGCGCTGCCGGCACCCGCCGCCCCCCGCCCGCCCGGCGGCAGCGCCCGGTCCCGACCCCGGCGTGCCCGGAGCCCCGACGGGGGTCTCGTTGCGAAGGCTGCCGCGGCACCTGCTGCCGCTGCACTACGAGCTGGAACTGTGGCCGCGAGTGCGGCCGGGACAGGAGGAGCCCTTCGGCTTCAGCGGGCAGGTGAACATCACGGTGCGCTGCCGCCGGGACACGCGGAGCGCTGTGCTGCACAGCGCCGGTCTGAAGTCCCACCGTGCCGCCGTCCGCGGGCCGCTGCCCCAGGCGGGAGCAGCCGTGGAGGTGGAAGGGCTGCGGCTGGAGGAGGAGAGCGAGCTGGCGGTGCTGGAGCTGCGCGAGCCGCTGCTGGCCGGGCGGCGGTACGTGCTGCAGCTGAGCTTCCACGGCCGCCTGCGGGAGGACCGCGAGGGGCTATTCCTCACCCGCTACACCGACCTGGGCTGCAGCAGGTAGGGCGCTGCACCTGACCAGGCATCGTGCGCGGGTCCGTCCGCCGGGAGTGCGTGCGTTGCAGGCAAACGAGGAGTTCGTTTCAGACAACAGAAGCCTAAGATTGCGGTTTCGGGCGTCCCGGCTGCAGGGGGTTTGAAAGAAGGCACTTAGCGTAGGGGTAGGAAAGGTTCTTAACGAGGGAATCATTCTTTATGATGTTAAAGATGCGGAAATTGCTGCGGAGGATGCAGAGTTACGGTTGAGGTGTTCTTATCTCCCAGCCTGCTCATGAATTCACTAAAAGTAAAGTAATTGAGCAGTTCGCAGAGCCGCGTCCCAAGCAGGTTGTGCCCGGGTACCTGCAGGATCCGTGCGTGTGTCACTGTGTGAAACCAGCAGCACCAAACCCAAAATGAGGAGAGTTCCTCTTGAAACAGAATCGTGTGACTTTCTGTAACAGTTCCTACCGTGAGTTGGCTTTCTCTCTCATTCACAGATATGTTTGTGCAATTTTTGATTTAAGTGCCTTGATTGTGTTGCCTAATTTACATAATTAAAGTAACCTAAATAGAAATCAAGCAATCTTTTAGTTGTTTAATTCTGCATCAGCGTGCTTTACGATGCCATATTAACTCAGACAAGTTCCATCTAGAACATGCTGAATTTGACTGTAGTATTTTTCAATTCATCCTATATTTGGAGGAGGTGATTGTGAGGAATACGTTCTGTAAGCATTATAGCAAGTTAACGATGGAAGAAGTTGGATTCCAATGGATTATATAGTTCAGGAATGATTTAAAAGTATTCACTATCTTTCAGCTCTAGGCTGCCAGTACAAAGCCCATGGCTGCTCTGTCAGGAAATCATCACCTCCTGTAGGCAGCACAGTAACTTTATGCAGGGACTTGCACCTGGCTCTGGCAAACCTTTGCTGTCTGATTCTCGCACTGGCTGGAGACTTCAGTTTGTAACTGAAACCATCAGTTGCAGCAGACAATGTACCGTTTATCTGCAGTCAAACAGATTCTTGTATTTCTTTGCATGTGCTGGAAGTTTTAGTGGTTTTGTAATTTGTGCTTGCGGAGCCACAAGGAACCTCTTGTTTCAGAGTTGAGGCACAGGGCTGCACCTCAGCTCTGGTACCTTGCTGCTCAATCAGACACCCACGCTGCTCCTGTTGGGTGAGCAACCCTACCTGGTTGATGCCAGGCAGAGTGCCTTGCCCCTGCTCCAGCTCAGAGCAGAAGTGTGCAGCCAAGGAGGTGTGGGGAGGCAGCTTGCAATGAGAACTCTCTGCTCTGTCCATAAGTGCAAACCTCACTTCTGAGCAGGACAGAATAACCCAAACTCAAACTTCACCTACTTCCCAGTTTAGAAACTGCTCACAGTCAGAGCAGTTCACACACACTGAAGACTGTGTGTGTTTTTTCTGTTACTGACAATTTGTACCATCCAACTGATCATTTCTGCCACACAAAAGAGAGCTCTGAAAGACGGAAGTGCTCTCCATGAATACCACGCTACCCATGGTGAATGCAGCATCAAAGGAAGTAAAAAAGGAGGATGAGTACATCACTAGCACTGAGTGTGTGGAAGGCTTTCCTTCTGAAGAAGGCATCTTTACTCTGCATATAGCCAGGAGATCCCGTGGCAGGATGAGAGCAGGCAGAAATCTGTAGAAACCACCTGTGCCCTTCTTGAGCGGCACTGGCTCAGACAGAAGCAGGTTTGTTGAGCATCATTCTGCATGCAGACCTTGCAGTGCAGTGAACAAGCTCACGTAGACTGTTCCAGGTTTAGTGAGATCACTGCAGAGCACAGTGTGTGTATGGTAGGAGGGGACTCTGTGAGCAGAGCCCAGCACTGCCCTGTCTCAGGACAGACCAGGTCCAGAGGCTCCAAAAGGGACCCACCACCATCAGCACTGAGCTGTGAGTGATGCTGGATGCTGGGAGAGCAAACTGAGGGAAGGGAAAACCTCTGCACTACAGCAGCTGGGAAAGTGCAGCGAGGAACGTGAGAGGGAGAAGCCCTGCAGGCACCAAGGGCAGAGCAGGAGGGCAGGAGGTGCTGCAGGCACGGAGCAGCCCTGCAGCCCAGGACAGGCTCATGCAGGAGCAGGCTGTCCTGTGCAGCTCATGGGCACCGTGCAGAGCAGTCCCCACGCACAGCATGGGGGTGCCTGGCAGCCAGCTGTGGCCATCTCTGCAAAAAAAGACCCATGCAGCTTCTATACGAACACCTGATTCCGTATGGCTGATGTTAATAAGCATTGCAAAATGTGATCACACTATTTGTGCTGATTTTTAACCACTTGCTTACGCACCAAGTGGTGGAAAGGGGAACTGGAACAGTGCTGGCACAGTTAATCGTGCCTCACAGTGGGGTGCCTGAAATTCTTGCCTCTTATGAATCGGTGAGTGAGAGTATCCAAGTGACATGACAGAAATCAGATTAAATATCAGGTTTGGTGTTTTCTTGGGTTCAGTGTTAGTCTGAGCACCATTTCCCTGAGGACTACTGGGGATGACCAGTGCATGTAATAAAATGCTGCTCACTGTAGAACCCCCTTACTTTGAGCCTCTTAAGATTTTGCTAAATGGTTTAGTTGCTACATTTTTTTAAAGTGGAACAAATCAGATATAAAATACATCAACACACAAAAATGCATGATCAGTATTACAAATGACTTCATTTTAGTGAGAAAACAGTGCTAGGATATATCCATCTAATGCAAAGCATACCAATTTTGAGAGATAAACACTTTTACATGGTCGTCCTCTTGATACCTGTCTGGTCCCTCCGCATCAGCTCTCAGGGAGGCACAAGTGTAGATGCTGGCTGCTCACACTCAGAACTGGGTTGACGAGACCTGATGGGATGGCAGTAGCCAAACACCTATCAAAATACATGGTGTTATAGAGCACAGATTTGTGTGTTGCTTCTTGCTTGTGGATGCTGCTCAGGTGATCTCTGACTCGTTTGGGATGACTTTGTAAGCGTAAGCTTTTGTGTGTGTGAATCACTACAAGCGGGAAATGCCAGCCCTGTGACAGCACTGGGGTCATTGGAGCACTAGGTCTTGCCATTCCTTCATGTCCAGCTGCTGGCACTGCTTCGCTTTGAAGACTTGGTGGTGTGAAGACTGTGGTTGCTTGCCTGTTCTTCCCAAGGTTAGCAGGTGCATTGCTGCTTGTTTGTTCACATATGTAGAGGTGTTTCCTATGGAGTTTTTGTTGTTGCCCTTGGGCTGACAGGTGTGGAGCTCTGAGAACTGTTACAGACACTTTTTTTTCCAGTGGTTGGTGAAGATGCCTTGATAGGAGCAGTCCAGATCTATAGCTCTGGTTTGAAACCTGGACCACTGGGCATGCTCGTTCCATCATCATTTTCGCTGGGCATCCTGATTACAACCACTGTGTCACGAAGATCTGCCCCAAATGCAAGTGCAATCTGTGTGCAATCTGTGCAGATGAGGCATAATTGAACAGTATAAGGTAGAAAATAACCTCCTCGTGTTTACCTGGGTTTGCCAGTGCAATGGGACAGCACTGTGCTGCTGACATTGGTGTTCTCCATTCGGTGTGATGAAAGTGTGCAAGTGCATGTAAGCACAGGTACTTAACAGCCATTAAATGTACAATAGTTAAAATGTGCCACTGAAATAAGAGAACATGCATTGGAGAGGTGAGCATGGGTGCAGAGAGGTTGTAATTACCACAGTTGAGCCCTGTGTCACTTTTGAGCTGTGTGCAAAACTTTAATCGATGCTCTCTGAATAACCAAGCTAGGCAAATGCTTCAAAAATATTTTAAATATTTAAAATATGATATCTGGAAAAGTTCAGTGAGTTAAAAAATAAACAACCATGACTTGACTGAAAAAGACTGTTTTTTTCCAAAGTGAGCTGTCTTCTGGGTGGGGAGTTTAAATGGGACTTGAAATGATAACCAGACATTTTGCAAACCTGCTTCATCTCTGTAGTTAACTCTTTTGCTTTGCTTCTGGCATATTTATGTGCCGTGTCTTGGTTTTGATTAGCTGTGGCATGCTGGATTAATCTTATCTGTATTTTCCATATAGTATGCTGGTTGCATCCCAACTGGAACCAGCGTATGCCAGGACAGTTTATCCATGTTTTGATGAGCCTGACATGAAGGCCACATTTAATATCAGGATTGTCCATGACCCAAGCTACGTGGCTCTTTCCAATATGCCTGTTATTGGTAGGTAAAGAGTAAATGTCTTATGTTTGTTTGTTTGCTCCTTAATTTACCTTAAAAATTGTGTGATTTGTATGTGCAGATGATAATTCTACCATTTGGCACAATAACATTCTGTTGCCTTGAAAATGTGCAAAAGATCTATGCTTGTTAACTTGAATATTCAGTTATTCATAATTGATGTATTTGATGACAATAGCCATCCTTACCAGCTGTGATGCATTTTACTCTGGTTGGTGGAGGCTGCAGAGGGTTTGATTCTTAGCATTTACTGTGGTGTCAGTGTGTCTGTCTTCCTGTATGACATCTGCTTAAAGCAAAACAGCAGCTCCAATATCCAAATCCAGAGGTCGTGGCATTAAAGGATTGCATTTCATTCTAGCTAGCTTTTAAGATGTATTTTCATCATATGTAAAGATGTTTTACCTTGCAGAGAGACTACAGCCCTCTGTCTATGTTAAAACCAAGGATAACATGACTATAAGACTCCAGAGATGCTCTTCCTGTCCCGCAGTTTGTCCACATTATAAAACTGATACAGCTTCTTATGCTTCCAGGACTTCAGTGAAAAAGATCGAGTGGTTTTTGGGTGCTTGCATGAAAGGGTCCTGGCTGATATGTGGTGGTAGCAAGGAGTTCGGCTGCTTGCCTTCTAGCAGAGGGATATGATGTTAATGCAGAAATAAAGCGTATCAAGAGAGGTGTGAAAACAACAAGCAAAAAAACAGCCTGCAGGAAATATCAATTCCTGGTTTGTCACAGAAAATTAATTTCTTGAATATCTCTTTAATACTTTCTTTCAATATTTTCTCCAATATTTTTTCTAGATGTGTCTGAAATGAAGGATGAAAATGGAAGCCTGTGGAGTGTTACCACTTTTAACACCTCACTGAAAATGCCAACTTACTTAACTGCTTTTGTGGTCTGCGATTTTGACTATGTCAACACTACAGAGCGAGGAAAGGAGGTAAATATGGGGTGCACAACAGGCCATAGAGTTTGGTGCACAACTTGGCTCTGCCATGCATCATTGCTTCAGAAGGTATCACAGACGTTCACTGTGTGTCCCACTCCAGAAGTGTTAGCGTAAGTGGCAAAACTACTAGCCTTTATCCTGCAGATAGTTCTGCAGAAAGCTCTCCTTTTCAACAGTTGGCATGTTGTCCTGCCCCTATTATTACATAGAGGTACACGGGCACAGTTCCACAAGAAGGTGTGAGTTTTGTCTGTTAAAACTTCAGAAGATGCTGTTCAAAATCAGGATCTTATCTCGTTATTTTTCTTAGTTGGAAAAAAAAATATCCATTTCCACTGCTGTGACAAACCAGTGAACCTGTGTCTTGTTCTTCAGGGCCCTGTCATGACTTCAGTATGAGAAACAGTGTGCCCCAAGCTTTCTGTATACTTGTTTTTAATACAGTGGGCACATTTTTTCTGACTTCAAAAATGATAGTTTTGTGTTTGAAGCTTCTTCACCACTGGGTATTTCTACTTTGATTGCTTGTGGTTCTGGTTTGTACCTTTCTCTTGGACTGATGGGTGCTGACAGCAGACAGCTAAGCATTCAGATGAGCACTTTTCAGAGGAAGAAGGCAGTTGCCTCTTTAGTACTGTGTCAAAGCAAATGGCACAGAGAAGGAATGCGGGTCCTGCTTAGAGGTGTAGAGGTGTTCTGCTCAGCGCTTCTCTCTTCCTAGCAGCAAAGGGAGGCCAGTTATCAGGTTTAGGATGTGAAAAAGTTGAAGAAGTTTTCTATTTTCAGATGGGAAAAACTCTCTGAGTGTGTTTCCCTTCCAGTAAACTTCACCACTTGGGTTCCCTGGCTAGGATACATTGGCTTAAGCAATGTGGATTTGACTAGTTTGACAGCATCTCCTAATTAATAAAAGAATAATTCAACATCTGTTGTAACATTCAAGTCTTGGCCCTCCTGATGTGCTGGAGCTTTAGATTCTAGGCCATATTTTGTTAGGCCCAGTAATCTCTGTTGGGATATTTTTTGCACAAAACTCACTGCAGGATCTGTGTCTACAGGCAGCATTTTCAAACAATGATTCACAGACGAGAGGCAAGGAGAAAGAAAATATGAGGCTTGTGGGAAATAATGCTTCCTCATTTTGTTGCAGATACGTATTTGGGCTCGGAAAGAGGCAGTTAAGAACGGGTATGTTGACTATGCTTTAAATATCACAGGGCCCATATTTTCATTTCTGGAAGACTTATTTAACATCAGCTACCCTCTGCCAAAGACAGGTGAGATTATTTATTTTCTTTAATGGGCCACAAATGGCTGCTGATGGTATAACATTCACAGAAACAATGGGTTCTCTTGCAGTATTTTTTTTTATAACTTACTATATTTATGGTAAAAAAAAAAAAAAGAAACAAACCCTAAACTTGAACTCATTGAAATCTCAGTCGTATCAAAAACAATCCTTTAAAGTAGTGTTTCTTAATAGAGTGGCAGGTAGGGCTACAAAGTGAAGAGAGTTATTCAGAATGTGGCTATTTCTGGGACACATCAGTTGAGGATGCTGAAGTCCCCAGGTATGCCTTGTAAATCTTTGCTCATTGTAGCCCATGTTTCCAGAAAACATGCCTTGCTTTCTTCAGTATGGCCTCATCTGGTTGTTGAATTGGCTGACTGTTCATGTATATTTCTCCTTGGTGAAGGATTCCTGCAGAGAAAGGTAATTTCTGCCTAAAATCAATGCCAGGTTAAGTTAGTTAAGCCAAGCTCCAGTCAAGAAAGCAGGGAGCCATCATGTATGGTTTGATACCATCAGCATTGATGCAATGGGGAATGTGCTTTCTTATACAGATTGGTTGGATGTTGAAAGCACAGAAGGTGGGGCATATTGAAATTGACCTGCCCATAGTCTTGGCAGATTGCAGAACTTGAAGAGAATAAGTTTCCTCCTTTCTTGACTTGAGCATATTCTTCATTTGGAGGACTGTGTTGTTGGCATTTGAAAGAAAATCTGTCTAAATGTATTATCTCCCAGTGTAGTTAGAATAGCACTCAGAACTACTCTTACGCTTCTTATGGAAAGTATCATAGGCAGTTGGTGCTCCTTTTAGATGTTGTTGTCTTAGTAATCATGCAAGGTAAGCACAGATTGTAGGCAGTTGTTTTTCACTTGTGCATTCTTCTGTTTACCAGCACTGTTGATAAGTCGATTCATTATTATAGAATATTACTGACATAGAAAAATAGTATCACAGGCTTCCTGACAAACAGAACTTCAGCTTCACAGAATTCTGTAATACTGTTACAATCCCTGCATAATGTAATGCAATACCAGCTGTGTTTCCCACTTTCCCTGAAGTCTTACTTACAATTAGGATTATATCATCCAAGAATAGCCTATTGTAAGTGCTAAAGATTTCTGCTGTGAACACAAAATGAAAAACAAACACATTCAAATCTAGGGATGTTTATGAATTTGCTTTGGGCTGCTTTTAATGCAGTTGTAAGAGACATCCCTCACCCCAAGTTGGCTTGGCTGTAAGCCTGCAGCTATTTGCTTGGCTAAGATGCATCCTTCTCTGCTTGGGTGCAGCACCACGTGTATGCTATCTGCACAGTTCTTGGACTGGGTCTGGCCTGGGGTCCACTGGCTGGCAATACAAGCCTGCTCCTGCTTCCAAAGTGGTCCCATACCTTTTGCAGAATTTGTTCTCTGCTACTGAGTTTAAGCAGTGTATCTTCCTCTGAGATCCTTGATGCCCATCCATGTGACTCCTTTCCTCCAACTCCCACATTTGAGATGGAGAGCTCCGTGCATAACACAGGAGAGGATGGAGGTAACAGAGCTGAAAGTAAGCTTTTTTTCCCCCTGAAAATAATTATTTGGCTAAAGGCAAAGGTGAGTATCATCTTTCACAGAAAGGCAAGAGGAAGATCTCTGAGAGCCAGAAATGATTATGTTCTGTCCTAGCATGGGTAGAATACAGCCCTCATTTTTGTTCAGGACATTTATGTGTACAAGATGCAGTATAGATTTGGCTCTGTGGGAATTTGTCGTATGGCTTCCTGGAAGACTGGTAATCATAGATGAAACTGATGACAAGAAGAGATTTCACTAAGAGTGTTGCCACAACCTAGCGAAATAAATAAATCAACAAATAAGGAGGGGCAGGAGCACATGTAAAGCCTTTTAATTGCACACTGAATGCTAATCCAGCATAATACCATGTAGGCATTTTTACTTCCAAAAAATTTTAAATACTTTTTTTTTTTTTTCCTGTTTGAATCAATTTAGATTTGGTTGCACTGCCTGATTTTGGAGCAGGCGCTATGGAAAACTGGGGACTAATGACTTTTGAAGAAGCAGCATTGCTGTACCTCCCGAGTGATAAATTCACAGGCAGAAGGATGATTATTGCCTTAATTGTGTCACATGAACTTGCACACCAGGCACGTGGTAAAAAATTCTGTACATCTGTTTGCCTGTAATGTTATTTCCTTCCAGTTGGTGATGATGCAGTCACTGATTTCTGAAGAGAAATAGTGAATAACTGTATGGGATGTGAGCACTAGAGAGTTGAAAGAGTGTTCATATGATCATATGCTAATTGATAATTAACACTGAAAGCAGATTTTGTCTTATTCTATCACATGACAGACTGCATACCATCTGCATATGAGTTGATATAAAACTTCTAATGGACTACTTCTGTTCTGTTGTTTTTTTAATGCAATAACTGAATGCTACACTAGAAAATACTGTAGGGATGTGGGGATGGCAGTACTGTCTATATGCTGTGTACTTAGTACTGCAGTGGGAGAGTTATTGGACTTTGTGTTCACAGTGGGAGTGCACATACAGGTTGCAAAAGGGGTGTTTTTCTCTAAGAAACCTTGTGATATCATGGAACAAATACAGTGTTAATACATTTTGTACTTTCATGCAGATTTACAGAGTTTTTGGTGTTTGGTTTGGAATTACCATGCAACTTCACAATTTTTTTGACTACATCTAATTTACTGCTGCTTGTAAAGAAGAAGACACCTAGTCAACAAAGTTAGCAGAGGATTTTAACGTTATGAAAGTACTTGGACGTCCTTCTGGCATGGTCTATAACTTTTCAGGTCTTCAGATGAGTATATTGTCCTTATTGCAGGCCAATAAATTACAAGGACTGCTTGAAAGTAATGCTTCCTGTTTTACTGTGTTGGCCCTTGACATCAGAGGCACATGTTGGTGAATGGCAGTAGAGGTTGAACCTTCTCACCAGTACCTGTTGCTGTGTGACAGATGGCAACAGGGGGGCAGTCTGACAGAATGGCATTGACAAGCAAGTGCCTATGGAGCAAATGTGTGCCATGGAATTCCTCTATGCAGTAAAGGTTGCACCCTTTCATCGATGCTTACTGAATGTTGCTGGAGACCAAACAGTGGATGTGAGCACAGTGAGGTGGCGGGTGGAGTGTTTCACCCATGGTGGCAACAAAAGTGCAATGTGCTCTGTCAAGTAGTGTTACTGTGCTCTCTGTATCTGCTGCAGTTTCCATGGAGATAAATGGTAGGCATTACTTTCAGAGTGACCTACGTAAATGTCAGCAGCTAATGAAGCTTTATGTTTTAAAAAAGCTGCAGTCCAAATTTTTAAGATTGAACAGATGAAGTGCACATCCTCAAATGATCAGGTTTTTTTTTGTTTGTTTGTTTGTTTTTTATTAAATTGCAGCTGAGTACATATCTTTTGTGCAAGTTTTATTGCTCACGATGATAGGGATTTGCTGATTTTGGAAAAGATCATTTCCCTGGTTCTGTTTATCATCCCCTTGACAATTTCCTTTTGGTAAGAACATAGAAAAACAAAATTTATCGTCTTATTTATCAGTGATTCTTTGGAAAAATGTGATTTTTTTTTTTAGATTTTTTTTTTTAGAAACATCCCACTTCTAATTGTAGCCTGATATTATCTTTACTTTTTTACTAGGAAGTATCTAAATAGAACAAGAAACTGGCACCATGCGCACATGGTATGAAACTGTAGATTAAGCATTTTAAAAATAACTGACTTCTGACTTTCACCAAGAGGCACCTTCTTTTCCACTAAATTCTCAATATTTGCAGGAATATCCGTCGTTTTATTCAGCTGACAAACACACATCAAAGTCCTTCAGTGGGGATACGTGTGTTTAACCTACAAGAATGGAATAAGGCCATGTTGAGACTTTTTTTTCTATCTATTTAAGTGGTTTGGAAATCTGGTTACCATGACCTGGTGGAACGATCTGTGGCTTAAGGAGGGCCTGGCATCTTACCTTGAGAACCTGGGAGCTACTTTTGTCGAACCCAAGCTTTCACTGGTAAGTAGCAGTGGCTACTCAGTAAGGACTCAGTAAGATAAGGCACCGAAGTTCCAGTATTGGAGGAGGAAAAGGAAGATGCAGGAGATATGATTTAATTTAATCGTGGTGTTAGCAACTTCATTCTCCTGGAAATGCCCAGGTCTCAGTTCTTGCCTTGAGGGTTCTCCTCTGTTGAAGGCTGTATCATGCCATTCTTTTACAGCTGAGCAGCTGTGATTCTGCATTGAGAATGAGCTGAAGAACTGGATTGATTTTTTTGCCCCAGGTTCTTTCATTTAATAAACCCATCTGTTTCTTCCTGGATAGTTTCCCTTCCTATGTTTCCAGGCTCTTTGTGTGAAGCTGGACATGTCTAATGGGCAGTGGCTAAGCTGGGACATTTTACTCCACGGGGTCCATGGATGTTTGGTTGTGGATAAGGCCCATGTGGTACACATAGTGCACTAAGTTGACAATATGATGAAAGCTCCTTCCTATTGTGACCAAATGGAAATACGGGCAAATCCCACAGTTTACTGCAAAACTCCATCCATTGTTAATCTGTGCAGCTGGGGGATAAATGCTGCTGACAGTAGCCATCATCTGAGGTGCACTTGGAGGCATAATCAGAGATGTATCTGCATGAGGCCCTCAGATTCTGAAGGAAGGAAAAGCCCTTGGGCTGGTGAGGCCTGAGACTTCAAAACTGCAGTTTTTGAAGATGTCCAAGAAGGAAACTCCACTGAGACTATCTGAGCAGCCTGTGTAAGCTCTCCATCACCCTCAAAGTAAAGAAGTACTGCCTGGTGTTCAGATGGAGCCTCCTGTGCTCCAGGTCTTGCCCGTTTCCTCTTGTCCTGGTGCTAAGCAGACAGCTCTGTCCTCTCTGCATCCTCCCTTCAGGTAAATACATTATTGAGCCTGTTCATCTCCAGGCTGAAGAGGAACTCTAAGCATCCCTCTTAAGAGAGGTTATCCAGACCCTTTGTCATCTCCATGGCCCTTCATCACTCCCTCCAGCAGCTCCATTTCTCTCTGGTACTGGGTAACCCAGATGTGGGCCCCATGCTCTCTATGTGTGCCTCAACAGTGCTGAGCAGAGGGGAAGGATTGTCAACAAATTCAGTCCCATTAATTAAAAGCTTTTTGTCCTTCTTCTTGATGAGTGGATATGCCAGAAGTGACCTGCAGTATCTTAAAAATGTATTGATTTTCTTCACCTGTCCCATACGTCAAATGACATCCAGTCATAGGACAGCTGGGAGAAACTAAATCAGCTTTTGATGAAAGGAGAGCTTCACTGCTTTATGAAGAGGAGTGATTTTTCTTGCCCATATTTCTTATGGGTGAGAGCCAAAATGCTGTGCAGTTAAGCTTCTCTATACTCATCCAGTTTTTAGTTTATTGTTTAGTGGTGCAGCAGGAGAAATATAGAATTTAGGAGGGAAACGTGGATTGCTAATGATGTAGAAGTGCACATGACATACATGTTTTCAGTTTTCAGTGTTTGTTCATTTGGTGTTTAATGTAATTGACTTTTTCCCTGGAGTTTACAGTGCAGTTGTCTTTGTCAGGTCCAAGCCCGCTGTCAGCTCAGATTGACAATTTTCATTGCCAGAAGTAGGTAGTGATGCATGTAGAAGATGTTAGGATTTGTTGTGAGACCCTTTTACCTCAAGGGAGTGGCAGGGAGGGGGAAAAGGACAATTCCTTGTTTGTTGACAGGCTATTCCTGTTAGTGCTATCTACATAATGCATCTTCTCTAACTGATGATTTTCAGTTCAGCTGCGTTTTTTCTTCTTGCAGCATGAAATCTTTTATGATCACATCGTACAACCTGTCTTAAGTCAAGAAAATGACTTAGAAGTTCGATCACTGTCAGAAAGTGAAGACAAGGTCAACGGATCATTTTCATTACTTTCTCTGTTTGACAGCATCACATACAACAAGGTGAAAACATATGGAATAATTCCTGTTCCATCTTATTCTGAACTAATGTGATACACATTATATTTGAGAAAGACAGAGAATATCCTGCTGAACTGCAATGCTTCATTGTTTTGTCATGCAAAATTTATTTCTGCCGCACACACAAATTTATTGGATGTTGCAAATTTCTCTATGAAAGAAACTGTGAATGTTTTTTACCTCATAGGAATAAACTGACTTTTCTGAAATGTAATTTGAAGAAATATTGCATGAATAATTGCAACAATAACTCATGTTTTCTCATAGCTTTCTTTGTACTTTAGGGGGCTTCTATTACATGGATGCTTTCTGGTTTTCTGACTGAGAAGTTGTTTACCAGAGCTTTAAACGTAAGTTTGGAAAAAGGACGTCTTCATCTTGATTTATAAGCTTGAAAATGATGAGAGTACGAATCACTGTCTGCCTTGCTGATGTTTTTCATTGAACCTTTGTGAATTCTGAGGCATCTGTTTGTTTCCTGCAGTCGTATCTGAGAGAATTTGCCTTTTCAAACGCCAACCAGGATGATCTGTGGATCCACATACAGTTGGTACTCAATTTATTTCTAGTGTTTAAATCTATGTCACTAAGTATTTGTAGAGTGCTGCAGTGGAATTTGGCTATCCCTTTCACAGTGTTTCCTTTGCATAAAATTTACTTTGCCAGCTTTCTTGCCTTATGTCTTCACAAGTGTTTATTTGGGTATTTAACTGTACTTGCGGTCAGTGCAGCCGAGTACAAGGAACAGAGAAATGAGGTGCAAAGTGGGTTTCTGGGTGCATGGATCACCTTTGTTTAAATGAAATTGCATAGCCTGTGTTTTTCCGGAGCTTAAGTTCTGCCAGATCGATGTGTGATGCTCTAGACTTGGTGATCAGCAGTGTTGATGCATCACAGATCCTGCAAGGTCTGTAGGGCGGTAGATCAGCATTTCTCCCTTTGCTGGTTTTGTCAAAAATCTGAATAAGAAGACAGGTTCTAACAAAAAAAAAATGCTCATTTCCCTGCTCATCTAAGGAAGTCTTCCGCTGTGTTACCAAAAAAAAGCCTTAGGTTAAGAACAAGAGTTTAACAACTTTAGGTATGCAAGACTGTCACATGTTCTAAGCCAACAAAGACTATTAATTCACACTGGCTGGGATTCCAGCTTGGTATCTTTTTCAGTGAGTCTTTGATGTTCAATTTGCTCATCACACTGTTATTTAAAATTGTGTTGTTTGCTGGTATGTTCATTTGAGTAAAACAAACAAATTAAGTCTGTCATAGTCATGTAGGCTTGTAAGCATATTCATGATAAAAAGAGAAATGTTGGCAGTCAAGTTATCTTATCAAGTTATCAAGCACCAGTTCCTGTGTGCTGTCATGATAATAGTGTCAATAATGTTCTTTACACTTTTTTACATTGATTTTGTGCATGACTCAAATATCAGCAAACCGCTGAGCAATTACTTTCTGTAACACACTAGATTAATTCCTAGAGTGTTGCTGAAACAGAATCAGTGTGACTGCTTGTTATAAATCTTTCTAATTTCCCTTTCTGTTGAAGGTAGTAGATGCGCAAGATGAAGTTCAGTTGCCAGCATCTGTAAAAAAAATAATGGATTCCTGGACATGTCAAAATGGATTTCCAGTTTTAACATTCAATATAAGCACCGGCACAATCAGTCAGGAAAAATTTCATAATAAAAACCATGAAAACAGTACAGACTTTTACAAGTATGTTTCATTTGTATTCTTATCAGATACCCATGTTTTGTTTTTCTATTTGCAGGAAACTCTTCACAATGTTTTGACTGTTTTCTAAATTTTTTGCTTTGTGGCATGAAATAAATTCTGTTTAAGATTGGAGTTTGCTGTAGTTTCTCTGAGGGTTGCTTTCCTGTGCAGTAGTGACTTTTCCAGCCACAAAACAGCTTTGTAAGGACAGGCATGGGCCATGAATGGATTGCAAGGCAGAAGTTTTGCCTGGCATTTCTTCATTCTTCATCTTTCAATCATTCAGGCTGAGGACCGGGCTGAACCATGCAGCAACTTCTTTCCTGTCAACATTTTCAGTCTCATTGTCATGGCAAAGACAACGGGGTTGCATGAAGGTCTGACCTAGATTACTCCTTTCTCAGAAAGCCTTGAGTACTTGCCATGAAACTGTCAGTGAGAATCACAGAGTGCCTGCAGCCGTGCTGCATATTTAGATGCCTAAAAACATGGTGGAAGGAGCTGATTCTGGTCACCCGCTTGGGAGCCTCATGGCCAGAGTCTGAACTTCAGTAAAATTCAGCTCTTTCTGTAAGCACTGGGATGTATGGACAAAGCTTGCAGGGTGTGTTCTTACCCAGGGAGATATAAGAGAAAAGTAACTCAAGGTAATTTTTCCTACCTGTGGTTCTGTTCTTGCAGACAATGAAAGGATGGGGATTTCGATAGCTTCATTTGCTTCCAAGCACCAGGGAAGGAAGAAAACTTAGATTAAATTAGTTTCTAGATAAAGCCAGATAACACAGATAAGGAGTTCCGAGTTAGAAATGTTGCATCCATTACTCTAGTTACAGCAGTACTTAATGCCACATGAAGTTAAGCAAATCCAGGACAAACATTTCAGAATTTTTCATTTTCTTGAACAACTTCAGGCTGTCAAAACTTTCATCTCCTTTCTATGGGAGATTTTGATTACCTGCGACATGAAATGAAAGTTATTAGTATTACAGTTGTTTTGTTTGCCTGGAGCCATTTTTACCAAATGCACTTTTAAAAAGGAGCTTTATAGTCTCCAGAAATCAGATGAAGTGAGGAAATTAAAAAATAACTGGGGAAAATTGAATTATCTCCCAGAGAAACAAAGCAAGAGCGCAGAGATAAAGTGGTACTTCAGCAGATCTAGCAAAATCTAGCTAGATCTAGAACTGTCTAAGTTTGAGTGCTTATTTAAATCCAAGCTAAAACTCCATTCCAGTCAATGAACCTATGTGCTGATCCAGTGTAAGTACAACCATCCGAAGACGTTTTGTGAATCAGAGAGGAGAGAGGGAAGATGAGTAAGAAACTGATTTGCAATCGAATTTAGTGTCAGCAGTGAGGGTTTCTGTAAGAGTAAGAATTAATGATATTGCTTTTTTTGTTGTTGTTTTTTGCTTAAGCAATACTTGGATTGTTCCTATTTCTTGGATGAGAAATGGATCATCACAGCCCTTAATGTGGCTTGACAACAGCAGCAGTAAGTAATGTGTTTTTTTTAAACGTGCTAAAACCAAGATGATAAAAAGCCACCGAATACATCTATGAACAAAACACTGTGTTAATTTTACGTTATAATGGGTTAATATTAACGTTTAATTTAATTAACGTTAATAATTATTTTTCTCTGTGTACAAATGCCTGTCATGAGTAGATATTTCGTTTTGTACACAAATCCAAACTCCAAGCTGCTCATGCTTCTGTATTACTTTTGCTTCAGTAGATTCCACTGATGTTAGTGAGAGTCCATGAGTATGGGTGGGATCTCTGGGTTTGGCTGTGATACCTCAGAGTATGATCAAGCTCAACTGGTAGATATGAGGACTGAAAAAGATTAGAATGAGTTATGTGAAATGGCCCATATTTATTGAACGTGGATATCTCTAAAAAGTATTTTCTGTGTAATTTTACTTGTTGATGCAAATCAAGTGCAAACATAGTCTTACTAACAGAGTAGAACCCCAAAAGGTTTTAAAGGCTTATAATAAAGAAGTGAGCTTATAGGCGTCTCCAATCAAATAAAAAATTCAGTTATTTCTCACAATTCTTCCCCATATTGCTTTCCAATAGGCAGCTGTATTTTTTGATGGAAAATAGAGGTAATCATTAGAATAAGTTAATAATTTTTCTTTGGTAAGTCAGCCTTGAACTGCATCAGATCTTGAATCATTTAGACGTAGATGCGTAGTGATGTGTTTGTTAAATGCTTAAAAAACTACAATACATTGTGTGCATTTTTTAATCTCTCTGCCCTTTGTTTGCAATTGTCAAGAGCTACTTGCCTTATCTTTCCAGCAAAAGATAACTTGAATGACTATTTCACAGTATGTGGACAAATTAAAGAGCAATTAGTGGATGTTCCAGTGAGGTGAAAAATCAGAAAATTTGCAGGAAAGAAGTATTAAGCAGTGCTTGCTTGGAAGGACTAGTGTTACATGGTAGGCTTCTATCATTGAAATAATAGCAATTCCATTTCCTCACACGTCACCTGCATTAATTAAATAAATATCATGTTGCATCTGCCTGAAAGAACTAAAAAAAAGTGAAAATTCAGTCATTAAAACACATTGTACTTGTATTTGAAAGCCACACGTGAAACTTCCCTGAGCCTAGACTAGTAGCTTGCTTCCAAGTAAAGATGAAAAAATAACAGCAATTTTGATTTCAGTCTTGACTTTTTGATGTAAAGATAAACCAAATGGTTTCTTATATGCGTAGGGGTGTTCAGGGTATTTTTCATTTCACTTACCTTTTTGCCTCAAATCTTGGAATAGCTTCTGCATTGGCATGGAAATACATCACAATGAAGCATCTAAAAAGTGCTGTTATGTATGTGTATTTTTGCTGAAAAGAGCTCTGTGGGAGTTATACTTCTTACTTCTGAGCAAGTGAAATTAAGCAGCAAGCCCCAAGCAGGGCTGCTAATGGTAGCCAAGCATGCTCTTGCACGTCTCTGCTATGCAGTGCTAAAAGCCTGTTCTGTTGGTTTAGGACTTCTCTGGCAATCTCTAAATGCTTACCTTATGCTCATGTTAGTGTGTTGGTCACCGGCAGGAAAAGACATGATCCCTAAGTGATGCATGTCAGTGTAGAAAAGATACCAAATGATGGCAAAACTGTGCTACTGTGGTAGAACGTATTTTCATTTGGCCTGGTGGTGGAGGCTAGGAATGAGCTGGATCTCTCAGAGCATGGTTTTGCTATTTTAGATGCATCTGAAAATGATAGTAATGATTAGCAGAACATTGAACTAGTCGGGGGTTGGACTCGATGATCTCTGGAGGTCCCTTCCAACCCCTACGATTCTGTGATTCTGTGATTCTGTGATATGGAAAATACTACTGGCACCATATCCTAGCTACTCAGTCTTTTTAAATGTGTTAACTAGTCTCTGACATTTGTTGTGTTTTCCTCTTGTTGAATGTGTCAAAATGACAAAATATGAATCCAGCTCGGTCAAAACATATTGGAGTTTGAACCTTCTGTTCAGAGAGTTGTCTGGACTACTCACCAGTATTGATGCACTGTCTTAAGAGAGTTTGCTGTCTTCTTAAACCAGGCCGGTGCCCAGTTAAAGCAGCACGTTAGTCCTCTTCAGGCAGCTTAGAGCCTTCAGGAGGCCCTTATTGGAGCTTAGAGCCTCTGGTCCCCTGCAACGTCCTGTGATCTTCCAGGGGCAAATAATCAAACAAGCACCTAATGTAGGCAGTAGTGAGATGAAATAGGAATGTGAGAAGGAGCCTCTAGTAAGTAACGTAACTCAAGAGGGCTGTAGGACTTTCATTTATAGTATTTATTTTCAGTTGTTTGCCTGTTGCATGAATTTAGCTGTTTTGCTTTCCTTATACTAACGCTGGTAGACAGTCAGTTCTCCTGCTGGGAGCCGAGCGCTGTGTTTTGGAGCAACATTGGAAATGGCAAGGCATGCTGAGCGTGGATGCCTAGGCACTCAGGGGTTCTGTTCCCCATCCAGACTGGTGGTTTCTATATAGCCTTTCTGAGCTCTCCCAGCTGCCTGCTAGTCAAAAGGTTGGAGCTGCACATGTCTTCAGCCACCCCTATGCCAACTTCAGGGTGCTCAGCTCCTCAGGGATCAGGTGCTTGTGGAAGTCATTCTGCTGCACAGATTCTGTGGGAGTCTGGGTACAACCTCAAACTTGCATCCTGGGGGAGCATAAATGCAAGAGAATTTAGCAGCGTGCAGAAAATGAAATGCTTTCTCATGTCACTTTACAGAAGTGTTTCCTGAAATGCAAGTGTCAGACTCAGAATATGACTGGATCCTACTAAATGTAAATTTAAGTGGATACTACAGAGTGAACTACGATCAGTTAAACTTGAAAAGATTAGTACACTTGCTTGAAAATGATCCAAAGGTAAGATCATGTATATAATTTTTTTTTTTCAAGCTTGTAAACAGACTTCTTTCTGTGTATATCTCCCTGCATTTTTTACCAGTAATCACACTGATGAAAACCTGGAACAACAAGAACTCGTATTTGTCATGTAAGAATAAATGATCTAGTATTGCACAACTACAGTTAATGGCAGTCTTCCATAGTGGAATAGGAACAGGCCAAAATAGTTTCACACAGGCATTAAGTTGAAAAATAACATACAAAAGATGGCATTCTGTCTGCCAAATCATCTTAATAAATCTCTTAAATTTCACTCAAAGAATTGTCAGGATGGATGCGCGACCCAGATTTATCTGCTACGAGGTAACCATGGGGAGGAAGAACAGAAGAAAGTTTTTACTTCCACCAAAGGACAATATTTCTGTGAATGAAATGTTAACAAAAGCATCGATTTGAGGTTTCTGTGCATTTTGTGATTCTTCTAATGTTCCAGCCAGTTCTATAACACAGAGAAGATTTTATGTCACCGTGTAGGCTTGCAGTAAATGACACATGGAGCAGCCTGCTCAAATGGCCTTCTGTGGTGCTGCATAGCATTTAATGTTTCCTAGCCCAAGCCTGAGAAGGGGTTCTGGTAATCACACTGATTCACTGGATCTGACAACAAAGCTGTGCGAATTTAAGCACGGTCTGTGCCTCTGAGAACACACGTGATCAGATGACTTCTCTGGAAGGTCTAAACCCAAGGCTGATGAGAGCACAAAGGGGTGACCAGACCTCTATAAGGTCCATCAGCTTTGTTTCATCTGAGTTTTTCTTCACAGCAAATCTAATCAGGACAGACTTACACTGTGCCAGCTCGGGGCCATGCTTAATGGCTGGTGGGAAGGTTGGCTAGAGCAAAAGCTGAGCCACACCAGAATGGAAACAGGGAGGAAGGGAGAAGTGACCAGGAAGAGCTGCAGGCAGAGGCTCACCCACAGTCCTTTCTTGGTCATGTAATCTGTGATTCAGATACTCTGCTGTGGACTAACCTGAAACTTCAAAAGGAAAAAAACATACCAGAATGAAATAACAAAGTGTATATTAGGAAATGTACAACTTCCAGACTCTACTTTTAATTCTAATATGTAATAAGAGGGATCCTCGTGTTCTGCACTTTTTATATGTAAGTGCTCCTAAAAGCACATAAACAATCTCAGCTTAAAATACGAGATCAATTTTAGCATGTTTTGCAGAAGATTTTGGCTTATAAAAGATGTTAGTGACTTTGCCTTACACTTTTTATTACTTTGTCATACACCTTTTTATTGCTCTTAATGATGTGTGTAGGTCTATTAACACCACATTGATGCCTTCTGCAGGCTATTCCTGCTGTCAGCAGGTTCCAGCTGCTAGATGACATTTTTGCACTTACAAGGTAAGTATGTTTTGCACATGTCATGGAAAATGATTAAACTACATGATCTAATTCAACATTTGTACTTCTGCTTCATTCACTCCTAACCATTTGTACCTCTTATAAACAACAGGCGTTCAACAAAATGGTGGAGGACTACCAGTGTTGGGTGATTTCTTTTGAAATTACTTTTAGTTTGTACCTTCTCTTAGCAAATACTTTAAGTAGTGGAACTGTCATGAACGCTATGAAGACTAACCGAAATTTGTTGTAAGGGAACTTCTAAATGAAGATAATTCTCCAACGTTTACTCTGGAGAGCCTCAGCTATGCTCTCCTGCATGGCTCATAACACCTCTTTCATCTCCCCTGTGGATGGATTGGTTGGTCATTCACCTCTTGGCAGAAGAAGACCGCAAGACACTTTTGCAGTTCAGTAGAAAATGACTTGGTTAAAAATAACCCAGTGTTCTGTTAGTTTTCCTGTCACGCTCCCTTCCTTCTGAAAGCAAGGCAGTTCTCAGAAGAGGTTCATGTGTAGAAGCTGTGGGACTGTGCTGCTGGTGAGCTCAGCAGTGCTGTGGGTTGCTAGAGATGAAATAAATAGATCTGTGTCATAGTCACAACAGAGATGTCCAAAGCATCAGGCAGCTGGGATGTGGGAGCTCAGGCAGTAGGTGGCTGAAGCGCACTCCAAAGCCTGCAGAGGTGGTTCTGAGAGCAGGGGGTCAAAATGCTAGCAGTGTTTCTATTCTGGAGTTTTCTGTTCTGGAGGAGAGAGGAGTGAACTGGCTTTTCTGGGGAAGCAATGCATTCCATGCTAGCTCCATGGTGAGGCATGGAAGTGCCATGCTGAAATTGCTGATCTCTAGGGTAGCGTGCATGTGGTTTAAACCGTTTCATTTTATAGTAATGTTTATTCCATAAATATTGAAAATCTCTTCTTTGCCAATAAAAAGACAAGTGTATTATAAATGAAAACACTCTTGGAGTGAGGCTGATGCATGCTGCAGACACTGCCAGAATACGTACTGCCATGATTACCCCATTACTAGGCACTATGCTCTTCAATGCATGCATTAAAAAGTTCAGCTTTTCAATGACACACCATAGTTTGACATTTATTTCAACATAACATTGCCTTTTCAAGGTGATTTCCCACCATGTATCTGTATGTTTTATCATCATAAATAAATCCATGGTAGATAGTTAATGTGAATAAGCATGTTCAAATACGAGTGGTTTTTGTCTTCAAATAGGTCTGGATATATTGAGATTGAAGCTGCACTTGAACTAACAAAGTACCTTGGCGGAGAAGATAAACTCTTTGTATGGAATGTGGTATTGGTAAATCTAGTGCCTGACAATGTGGAAAGTACTCTGAAAAACTATGAAGTATACCCACTTTTGAAGGTATCAACTTCTTTTATTAGTTAGGAAAGATACTAGTCCATTTAAATGAAGTGACTAAAAGCTTTCTAGATTCTCACGAAAGAACGAATGTGATGGGTAATATTGTATGAATGCATTTGCATGATTTGCCATCATCTTTAAATAGGAGGTACTTGTTCACATGTGCTAGTCAATGATAAATATCATTGCTTTGTGAGTTCTTACTGTAAAGCAGAAATTTGTTTGCATTCTTAGTATTAATCTTAGTATTAACCTTTGTTTTGGTTCTTTTTGTAAAAGAAGTTCAGAAAAAGCTGTATGAAGAGAAAGAAGGAGCTGTCTTAGACACTGTCTAAGAGATTATTGTATGAGATATATGTATGAGATTATTTTATTCCATATTTAAGATACTTGAGATTATATATATATATATAACTTCTATTTCATGCTACTTTTTTTTATAGAAGCAATCTCAAAGTAGTAATTCTCTTATGTTCTCAGCATAAGTATGTTCAAAATATGTGGGAAACATATTTTTTCTTTTGGAAACTTGTTTTTTTCTGTCTTTTCTCTGAGAAGGAACATTTATTATCTTTTGCAAGCTCAGATGTGTTAGCAATGTGAAATAAGTAATTTCCCCATTTGAATAGCACAAGTGCATCAAATCCCATGTTATTTATTTTATGTGCTTCATTTTAATGTTCTTTATTGTCAAGAAAGCAATAGAGGTGAATTTTTAGGATAAGTGAGTAAGTAAAGAAAAACACAGCATAATAAAAGCATGCATTTGAATGAAAATAATTTTTCTTTCCCTTCTTTTAAAAGAAATACCTTTTAAAGAGAATGTTGCCAATATACCATTATTATGCAGGTTTTATTCGTCGAAATGTTGATGCTTTGGAAGATGACTATTTTGCTCAGTAAGTATTCTGCTCTTCTCAGAACTTTGATAACTGACACACTGTAGTAGTTTGTCTTTGCAAATTCAAATGCAAGATACAGGAAAATGGTGTACTTAATTTGGGTGTGAAAGAACTGTTGTTCTCACTGATCTATGAACGTGTTACTTATTTGTGATGATACCTGCAATGAAAATGCAGTACGTTGGGATCGTTTGGGATATTGTCAGCATATTTAGTGAGGGTAAGAGGTGATCCTTTAATAACAGGGGTGGTAGCTCTTGTGTTTTGGAGAGTAGGTTTAACAAGTTGCTGCTCTTTGGGGGAAGACCTATAGCAATGGTTCAGATGAGCTTTATGCATCAATCACTAGAGCTTTAAAATGATTCATTTTGTAAAACCACAGCCTGTTACAATGATTGTTACTAGGTGCATCCAAAGCAACAGCACTATAAAAAATGCAGAAACCTAATAAAAATTAAGGTGTGTAGGTAGCCTTGCTGACATCCAGGAATATTGATGTCAGGAGCCCATTTTTTGGCAACTTAATTTTTTAACTTTTATTAAAACTCAAGTGCTTCTTGTAAAGGTTCTCCCCAGTTAACAGCATGATGTGCAGAAACTGGGGTCAAGCACAGTTTGAGCACTTCAAATGTGGAATACACATCTTTTACACTTGCTATTTTGGCTTTTCTTCAAGAGTGTATTTGGAAAAATTTTTTGCAACAGCATGCTGGCTGGGTCTCCGAGACTGTTTGGATCTGTCATCTGAACTGTATACTAATTGGATGGACAACCCTGAGTACAAGTAAGAACTCTAATGTGCTCTGAGAGATGTGCATGTGCAGGGGATGTGGGTGGTTGAGGGGAATTTACAGGGGCAGGCAGGATAAGAAAGGGCTCTACACACTGCTCATTCTCTCCAGATCTACAGAATTTAAGCAGAGCAAAAACAAGATCTCAAAAGGAAAATAATAAACGAGAAGTTCCACATCCTCTGCAAATTTCAGCTTTGTGTTGATTCCATAATTACTGCTGAAGGATTTTTCCATGAAGACCAAGATCTGCTTAACCATACAGCAGATGAAACTAAGTTAAGACTGATACACCATGTTGTCTGATCCCTTTGCCATACCTCAGCCTTGGGGGCATCACACATGCTGACTCAAGTTCTAGGCTTCCCTAAAGAGAATAGAGTGAAGCAATGCCAGTATGGCAATGACATGAACATCTGCCCATGGTGAATGTCATCCACGTTCTGCATTTGCATGAACAGGGGCTGGGAAGGGCTGTCAGTTCTCACGCTGATCCTGGAGCACAGTGGCTAGGTTTCTGGTCTGTAAGAATGAAGTTGAGCTTTACTAGAATCAGATATTCTGTGTTAGTGTATTGCATTGTTAAAGGAATCTTACACTGTATTGAAATTCTTATTCCTTTCCTCCCTCTCTCTTCTGATGTTCTTTTTTTTTTTTTTTTCCCCCCCTGTGCAATAGTCATATAATATTGGCCCTGGTGAGTGAATATTTAAAGTTTATTCATTATTTTTCTTTATTATAGTTGCAAAGAGGCTAATATTTTGTCTTACTCCTATGTTTGCTGCTATGTGATTGCCTAAGTGCTTGTGTTTGTATTCTGGTAGTAGTGATTTAGTAATCATCTCATTTTAAAGAAGATTTAAAGTGCTGTGCTTTGGTGATAAAGCAAAAAATCTAGTTAGACTAAACACATCCTGGTGTGTTTCAGAGAGGATTTTCCTCCTATCCCACAATAAAGGAAGCAATGCTATGTGGAAATATGAGACCAATGCAAAATACTTCCTTCATTAAGAGTATTCAAAAACTTTTTCCTTGTGGAATTCTATGCACCTTATCTGAGTTCAGGAGCTGAAGAGTCTGTGAAATATTAGCTCATCTACTTTTAAATTAAATGGAGAAGATTAATTTTGCCATCCCTCATGACACTGAGATAAATTTGAAGATGCTTCACAGTATTGAACTCTACATGTTTGTAAGTATGGAGGAAAAAAACAGCAGTAGTTTTATGAAGTGAAAGAAACAAACCACATTTTAATGGAAAAAACAAACGCATGAAGTAGACAACTTATTATGTTTCAAATAAAAAAAACCCAGTTCCTTTTCAGTTAAGGAGGAGGTTTTTACGTACAGCAGGTAGGAAAAGGACACAGACAGAAAGATCGCTTCAGCTGGTCTTATGTTCTCCATTTTGAAATCAGAACTCCTAACAGCATATGATAGTTGCTTCATCACAAGTGAGCACCAAATGTGTTACCATACCCACTAGGACTCTCAATTATGTAGAAGGCAGTGGTGCTTCTTCCTTTCAGATAAGGTGACCATCTTTCATCTGAGCGTTTCCAGCCAGTTTCTGACTTCCCAGAACTCACTGGAGTTGCTGTGCTGCATTATTTTCACTTTTGTGAAAATTGTGTCTCAAGAGCCATCCAGTCATCCAGTCTCTCAGTTTAGCTCTCTCTTTGCCTATAGAAGTGAAATGGAGCTGTCTAAGTGGTTTGGGGTTACTGGCTCATCTTTCTCTTTGAAAGAAAGAAATGAGTCTGGAGGAAGGGATAGTGTTTCTGTACATTTCAGTTACATCCTAAAGCTAAATCCTGTTGCCATCAAAGGTTACAAAATCATTATGACACATCTGCACTGACTCCAGGAAAATAGTATAGGCTAATGCATCATTCTTTTCAGGAGGATTTTTTTTTTTTTTTTTTGCATCTTCCTAAAGGTTCACATAACAGAATCCTGGTAGAATGCTCAAACCACATGAGTACTTCCAAGTAAAAAAAAAAAACATGAAATTAATAAGCTCAGTATTTCAATTAACAAAACCCCAAGCTCTGTATGGACTTTCTCTCTGAACAGTACAACACAGACCACTTCAGGTCCACCATAGTTGTCACCAGCCAGTAGACCAGTATCCCATAGTATGCTGCCTGTACAGCCTGCCTTCACTGCTCAGCATCAGAGCTGCAGCCAAAAGACATGTAGACTTCTACACTCAGTAACCAATGTCTTCTTGAAACTATTAAGACTGTATAAAAAAGCCACATTTTTTAGGCAAGGCTGTTTTCATAAGGCATCTTGAAAAGATGAGTTATTCTAACTGCATACCCTACATATCACACATGTGCCTACTGAGACTTCTTCCTTCAAGATTATGAAATAGTTCTTAAAAAATCTGCTTGCCTCTGTAACTCAAATAAGATCTGTCCTAGAAGATTTCCTTGCAGAAATATCCCTCACCTCGATGTAAACACTCAGTTTCAGCCAACATCATTGTTGGTGGGAAACTCCTTATACTTCAGAACATACCCAAATAAATAAATCCAAATTATTTCTTTGTAATTTGATATTTGTAAATTTTATACCTATACCAAGCATTCTAATGCTTTCTATTATGGCAGTGAAATCAGGACGGAAATGGACTTTTTACATGGATAGATATTAATAGGATAAGGGGGAATGGTTTTGACCAAGAAGAAAGGAATTTCAGATTAAATGTTGGGGAAATGTTCACTGAGAGGTGGTGAGGCACAGCACCGCTGCCTGGAGAAATTGTGAATGCCCCATACCTGAAAGAGTTCATGGCCAGGTTGGATGAGCCTCTGGGCAGCCTGATTTAGGGGGGAGCAATCAGGCTGCCCATAGCAAAGGGGTTGGAACTACATGATCTTCGAGGTTCCTTGCAACCCAAGCCATCCTGTGAGTCTGTGAAATCTTCAACACTCACCAGGACAGCTAAAGCACCTGCTGCTTACTTTTACAGTTCTTAAATGCGATGTCTGCATCAGTCTTCAGAAGGAGTGAAATTGCTTCTGATAAATTCTTTGAATACCAGACAAAGCATCATTGCAAACAGCAGTAATCATAGATAGGAAAAAGTTAACTCACCCAATTGGCAATAGAGCCTTTAGCTACAAAACAGTCATCACCAGGAAGCAGCCCTCATCCAAGAAGCACTCTCCTACCAGAGGCTTGCCCTTATATGAGCCCATGGAGATGTGGGCCCAGTGAATTGCCTGCACCTGTGCTTCCTTTGCTAGCCACAGCTTCACCAGTTCAAGCTGTGACATAAGAGTTCCCTTTCCATCTTTTATCCAAAATTCCTCCTAGAATATTGTAGTCCCTTCCCCTTTGGATGTTTCTGTCCTCTAGTCTTTCATCTGACTAGTATATTTACTTCGATATTGATCCCATTTCTGCAGGTATTGACCTCATTCTTTCTAGAATGGCCTAGTGAAACTAGGAATTTTTCTCAGATTATTTTTAAATTTGAAGAAAGATTTCTATGACCAGAAAGTTGACTGCTTTTCTGTCCTCTGGTGTGAGATAACTTTTACACCCTTACCATCTCATTCTTACTTAAGTAATTCTATGCAGATTAACAGCATGCTGTGGAGAAGTAAAGTGCTTTTTTTGTTGCATTCAGATCCATCCCACTGCCAGGGGGAATTTGTCCAACATACCATTAACTTGAACTATTTTCAGATAGCTTGCAGTACAGACTGGTAGGTAAATTGCTAATACTAGAAATTGCTGAGCTGTTTTAATGTTAGTGGCATGTCATTGCCACAGGAGAAGCTTTCTGTTCAGCCTTTGCACATGAAGTGTTGTATTACATGGACAGTGATTGCATTTATTTTCTGTTACAAAATGCACTGCTGTGTTAGGGAAAGTAACAGAAGGTGCTTGTTGCATGGAAAAATGTCACTTCAGCTTTTGTTTCTGTTTCCCATGTCTTTCTTACTGGATGTATTCACTGAAGAAAATCTTGTCTGGGATGATGTCTGTATGCAGTTGCACCCTCTTTAATGGTGTGATTGCTATACCGTGCTGCGATGTACAAGAGTGGCATTGATTGCCTGTACACAAACTGGCTTGACCTCACTGTTTTTACAAAAAGTGGTTTTTTTGCCTGAAAGCTGCATGTTTTGTTAAAGTTTAAACTGTAATCAAAATTAGCAGTTTTATTTGGGTTGCTATTTTGTATTTTTCTTACTACGCATCCTTCAGCTGAAAATAAAAATTTTCTTGTTATCACTTCATAGCAATGCAGCACCTTCTAACTTTATTTTGCTTCACAGAATTCCATTTTTAATTAGAAGAACCGTCTGTTGCTATGGCGTTGCAGTGGGAAGTGATAAAGAATGGGATTTTGCATGGAAAATGTATAAACAGAATGACTCCACAACGGAAGATAAAGACATCCTCCTCTCTGCCATGAGCTGTGCCAAAGAATCGTGGTTACTTCACAGGTGCCCTTGATTGAAGCATGTCTCTGGGGGTACTGCACCATACAAACCTGTCAGAAGTGTGCCTGCCACAGAACCACACATCTGATATTCCAGTGATAGAACCTTACGAATTTTCTTATGGGGAAAATATGATAACCAGTAGAAACATACGCGATCCTTTTGCTGACATCACAACTTACATGCCCTTGTTGACTGAGGAAGGGAATTCTTGAGCTGGTAACTAGCATGTCATGTCTAACACCACCAGTGGACCTGTCAATATGATTCCCTTTCTGAAGTGAAAGTGTACCTTCAGGTGTTATAGCAGACTGGAAACTAATCCCATAACTGCATGTTGTATGGAACCTCGTTCCCTTTAGGTTTGTTTCCTGTTTTTTTTTCAACTTTGAATCCACTGGCTGCCCGTACGCTCTGCATCGTAAGAAACAGCACTTATCATAATTCTCCCTGATAGTTTTCCCCACCACTTACGATTTTATACTGTCTTCCCATATCTCTGATTGCCTTCCTAGGCTAAAATCTCATAGCCTATTTAGCCCTCTGTAGAAGTCAGATCACCCATAGGTGAAGGACAAAAATGAAAATAGACTAACTAGCAAGCTGTTCATTTTGAAGTATAGACAAGGAGAAATCATATTTAAATTTCCAGTTTGGGATATCATATTCATTATCCTTCACTGACATCTTCACAAGATCTTTTCACTTTATCAGCAGAAAGATATTGAAGATGAGTTTTATATTTTGTCATGCCCACATTACCCGAAGAGTATCTCTGAGGACAGAAGTTTGCCAGTGATAGTTCTAAAGAATGATGATCCAACCACTGGCATAAATACGATGAGTCCAATGCTCTGAAAGTAGTTGAGTTTTTTCTCCTGCCAGCCACCTTGTGAGGTTGAGCAGGAAGAACAGATATGGCTCAAAATACAGCCAGTTGGATTGAGAAGACATGTCTGAGCAGAGCTATGCTGATTTTCCACCTAACCTGTGGTCCTTTGGTGATTTTGTTATAGACACAGGCTAGAACTGGTCCTTGTAAAGCTGTAAGTTATATCAGAAGAAGACAGCAGCTCAGGAAGTTGTGACTCTCCTTCCTCTGTATGCAGCAGTTGTTGATAAACAATCTCTTTTTCTAAACTTCAACCTGAAAGTCTTTTAGGCTGAGGAATCTTAAATCTGTGTTGTCCTCAGTATAGTTTGTCCATTTGGTTAAGCATATTTGTGGCATGCAAATGGGAGAAACCCAGCTCATCTGCTCTACCAACAAAGTGGCTGCTTGTAATACTCTGACAAATATTTTTTTCAGCGGTGCTGTAGAAAGCAGGAGACTGTAAAGTTACACAACAAAAAGAGAATTATTTATTTACTTTTTCAGGATATCCAGGCACCCACTCTCATTGATGTTAGTGTCAGGTAGTTAAATGTTTATCAAATCATGACTTAGCCTACTTGAGAGCACCTTGTATACCTTATTATTGAAACAGAATCCCTCTGTGTAACAGCGTGTCTTACTTCTAGCTCATTCTCCAGGATCTGTTTGGAGTTTTCTCCAGAATCTTGGGAGCAGTTTCCCTTACCATGAGATTATCTGATTAGAGGGGTTATTCTTAGTCTTTCTGTAAGATATACAAAAAATCAAATATCTCCTGTTGTGCTACACACTTATTTTACTGAGAAGTGGAAAGCAAGTGTGCAAGAACAGGGAATTTCACCGACATAAGAACAAAATGCAACCAGAATACAACCATAATAGCAGAATACAACTCTGAATGACCCCAACTTTGGTGTAACTGTCAACATTCCAGAATTTGGGTGGACAGAAATCCTCCTGAACTAATATGTAATTCCAGATTATGACTCTTAAACAGAAAGTAATATTAACTTTTTTTTCCAACAGATCCTTGCGGTATTGGCTCAGTGATACACAATTTTCTTCCAACTGTACAGCCAACATCCTTGAATATGTAGTGTCTAAGGACAATGGGCATCGTATAGCCTGGGAATTTGTTACAGAAAATTGGTCACTTTTAAATGAAAGGTATGGTAACCAACCTGTTATGATTTCTCTTTACTTCTGTGTTTCTTTTGCTCCAACTGCAAATTTTCCTTCCAGACACAACATAGTTTGTGATGATTGATGCAGTTTTCTTAAGTACAGAGACCACAGTTATCATCAGAGCCTAATGTCAAAGAAGAGCTCATGTCAATTACAGAATGCTTTGAAATTAGTCTGCTCATGACTGTCCCTGTGTTAAACTTTCTGGAAAGTCTGGCCCTTATTTACCTATTTAAATGGGGAACTTTCCCAAAAATCCCAGTTGTGAGAAAGAAAGATAAAAATCTGGCTCCTGGAGTACACTTTAAGATGTGCTTTGTGACAAGTGGTGTGGGAGACTACTAATCATGATATAAGAGAAGGCATTACTGAAGTACCTCTATGACAACTGCCATATAATATATAGTTTCCCACTTTTTGCTGTCCAGGCAGCATTTCACATCAGACAAAACAAACATCAGAACAAACTTTGGAATAGAAATAAACTTGTCCTTTTACTGATCTGGAAAAGGAGAAGAGTGCATGGCTGTGATGGTGGCTGTCACAGCACAAGTGTTCTTTTGATATTGAATGATAGAATGGCAGCAGTCCATAGACTGCATTCAGTAGATGTTAGTGTAATTATATACACTTGCAATCAATATAATTAAGCTTGAGCAGAACATGAGCAATCTAAGCATAAGCAAAAGGAAAAGGGAAAAGCCACTTGCTGTGTAGGCAAAGTACAATAATATTAGCAATTACTCTTACCTGCACATAAGCAACAATTTCTTTTTCTCTGTCTCAACACTGAGCGTCAGGACTAGCAAGTGACAACTATCACTAGATGGTGTTGGGGCATTCTGCTTATGGGATTGAGACTCCATGCCAATTGTGTGATTAAACGGATGATAGAAGATAAGTCTTCAACATGAGAGCCTAGGAAAAAAGGTAGAATAGTTGGGCTAGCTGAGGATCTGTAATCACTATAGCCTTTCAGTGTCCTTGAGGAGAACATTGTTTAGACTATTGTGTATTCATTTACATATTCCTTTATATAAGATAGGCATGTGAACACATTATGCAAGTGCTCCCATTGGCCCATGCTGTTCTGTGGTCAGCAGCATCTTGCCCTGTGCACTGGCGCTGTAGACAAATACTTTCAGGAATAGTAAGAACAGCAAAGTGATGTGGGAAAACTGGAAGTCAGAAGGGCGACCAAGAGTTTTAAAAGTGAACAGACTTGAAAGAAAGTGCTAGAACAGAACCATTACCTCCATACCGTGAGCATATCATTGATCTTCACAGATGAAGCCATCACTGACTTGAGTTTCTTCCATGTTTTTCGTCCAGGTTGCCTGTAATACAGTGTGAAGTAGCATACGCTTCCTGTGGGCAACTGGTGAATCTTTTTAGTTCTTGTTTGATGTTCAGCCAGACAGTTCCACAAACAAGAGAAAAACACATGGCTTGGAAACCCCCTGAAAATGGAAAACCCATATAGTCTTGTAGTGTTTCATAAGCACAGGTGTAAAATGCAAAATAAGGTCCTAACCTCTTTTCCAAAGTGAGCTCATACTCTCTTCATAGAGATGGTGGATTGACACATACAGATTTTGGAGACCACTGATACTATTCATCTCTATTTAAAGTCCTAATCCATCCAGTTTGGATGTTAGCTTTATACATTGTCCTCAGGACACTAACAGAAACGCCAAGATTTTAGAATTGATGGTACTTATCATTTCTATATGGATTTTAACTTCATAAAAGTTATCTTTTTAAGTCAGTTATTCATTATAGCTGAGAAAAAAGTGCAGATCATATCAGGAATGAAAATGAGGGGCAATTGGTCTGTTTAATTCTGCTCAAATGTCTAAACTGAACTTTAATGGTACTCCCCTTTTAAGGGGCAGGGAGTATACAATTGAAAACTTCCACTTAATTGGTACTTCCAATGTGATACATGATTAATAAATAGCTGGAGTATTATTAAATGAGATGGAATCTAGTATTTTTCTAGCATGCTGATGGAAGGACCCTTATCTCAATTTTACAGGTATGGGAAGGAATTATTACATGCCGTATTAAGAATCATGGGAAGATTTGTCAGTACAGATATACAGATCCAAGAGGTAAATGAGAGAAGAGATTAGTCCCAGTTTTACTACCAGTTTGTAAATACAGCTTTTAAAATCTTTTTTTTTTTTTTCTTTTTTTTTCCACTTAAAGAAGTTCAGGTAATGTATTGCATAGTATTATTAAACTTAAACTCAAAAAAAAAAAGATACCTCCTCATCTGAGAAATAAGTGTACAAGTGGGCACCCACAGCTCTTCAGTCTGTGGGTGCAGTTATTAAGCATGGCATTAAAGTGCTGCTTTGTGCAGGATGGATGTTGTCCTGCTCTGTGTGGTTGCAGCATAGGAGGGTGGTTGCCTGCCTACATGCTGAACAGAAGGCCTGCACATGTGGGGTGCTCTCCTTTCTCTTTGGCCTCATGGCAGCCCAGATAATCTATGGACAATAGATTCTATGTGGGCTCCTGCTCGTCTGGAAAAACTGAGTGGATTGGTCTGGGGATTCCTGCTGAAGGGTGGAAGTCTGTGGCAGATGGATATAACCTCTCTTTAGTTTATTCACCACAGTAAGACTTCCAAATGTTAGTGCCTGTGACAAATGCATAACTATCACTGCTTGTTCCACTGTTTTCTTGTTTCTTCCAGTTCAAGTCTCCCTAGATTATTTCAAAAAATATTCCTTATCTTCTCTCTGAGCTGCTGCTCAGCTTTTGTGCTGTTCCTATATCACATAAATCTCTAAGTAGTATCTGCCCAGTATCTGTCATTGTAAGAAAGAAATTGTTCCCCTTTTTCAGTCATTGACAGATGCATCAGCAAATAACAGAGAATGGATGGTTAATGAAGAAAGCTATTCAGAGATCTAGCTCCTAAAATAAAATAAATAAATCTCTTGGTTAGAAAGTAGAAGCTTTTCATCTTTTATTCTTCAGGAAAAAATTTTTGCTTCCTGTGATGGCAAAAGCAGTAGTCAGCCTTCCAGTTGGCTTTCAGATTGTAACAGAGTCCCAATATTATCATTTCTGTTTCATTTTCCTCTTTGAAATCTATCATCTGTAGAGATGACCTACCTCATGATGCCCACAGGAAAGTTAATAAAAGGTTGCTGGACATCTGTCTCTTTTCTCATGTACATTCCTCCACACCATCTACGTACGTTTCTTTGCTGTCCTCTCTTGTCTTCTGCTCTTTAGATTGATGGGAGAAAACTTCTTGCTCTGTAACTGTAGAGGAGGCAGCACCCAAGAGGATTCTGCTACCCAACTAGTCCTAGACACTGTGTGGTACCACTAGTACTAATGAAGCTGGCTGCAATTTGAAGCATTTTTACAGAGATGATGGCAAACGGGCACATTCCTGGTGTGTAAGGATCTTTCCTGTCCAGCATAAATCAATATGCTTGCTCCCATCCACTCTTTTTATGTAATTCTGTGTAAAACACCTGTCAGATATACAGCTGTTTCCTCAAAGTGAAAATGCACTGACTAACCTCATGCATTTATTTATTCAGTTGCAGGTTTTCTATAATAATACACTAGAAGAGGATGAGAGAGAAACTGCTACTCTACTACTGGAGACTGCAAAAGCTGAAAACGTGGAAAGGAAAGAACTTCTAAGTAGAGTTGCTGATTGGCTAGATAAAAATATAGACGACTGACTGGGGAAAATAATTTCCAGTATATTTTAGAGTTTGATTCAGTAGCACACTGATATTTTAAGACGTAATTAAAGATAGAACAAATCTTTATGGTGTCTGAGATTATCTTCCCAACTGGAAATTCAGGCTAAACCAATTCAAAAAGAAAATTAAAAATTCTGATTTCATATCAGAAATAAGATATATGTAGGTTGTGCCAAAAGTAATTCCTCATATTTAGTACAATGGAAACTACAGTAAATACAAAGAGAACCTTAACACCATTTGATAGAGCAAATTCTCAGCTACCAAACATTATCTTTCAACCTTGTCACTACATTAGCTGTGCATTCTTCCCAGTGACAAAGAAAAGCAAGCATTCATAAAAATCTGTACTGGCAGAGAAGACCAAGCTATTTCACAGCTGCTATTATGGTGTCATTGCTAGGAAAAAGTTGCCCACACAGTCTGTCTTTCATCAGCCCAAATGGATGAAGTCAGAAGTGGGTGCAGTAGGACAATCCAGCCAAGACTGGCAATGTGCTCTGTGATCTTCAAACTGGTATGGGGTTGGCATTATTGTATTGTCTTCTTCCCTGGCTTCCCTCTGTAAGTTCAAGCCTTCAGCTTAGTTGGCACTGCAGTGTAGAGGTCAAAGTTTGATGGTTTGTGTGGGTTCCAGGAAATTCAGAAGGATCACGTTTTCCTACCCCACTAGACAGTTCACATCACTTTGCCTACTGAGGACTGCATATTGAACTTTCTCTTAGATTGCAAATTCACACTTCCCCACTCCATGGACTGCTGTTTTGACTCCAGCTTGTAGCAGTCACAGTACATCTTGTAAATGGTAATGATGCGATTCAGAAAACTGTCACCTTCAGCTTCATTTTGAGGCGTTCCAACATTACCACCATGATTTCCAAAGCATTGGAGCCAATGTTAAGCCTTGTTCACAGTTCCCTGGTCACAATCTGCTCATTGCGTGGATGAGCTGGCTGAAATGCTCTTCATTTTTTGTGGTGTGACAGTTCTGCATGGCCCATGTGGAACATGGCTTGTCTTTCACATCACTGTCAACACTGCTGGCATGTGCCATGCAGCACCTCTCTGTGCTGACATACACTGTTTGATCTCTGTAAGTGTTCAGCATCAGTGAATGTCAGTGGGTGCAATTTTTTCCTCACATTTTCCTGTGTATTCATTGACACACCCTTCATGTACACTCTCCTGTCAGACGCCATTCTGTCAGGCTGCCCCTCTGCTGCCATCTGTCACCGGGAGCAGCATGGAATGGGATAATGAAGCAAAGGGTCAGCCTCTACTGCCATGCCACCAACATCTCTGACATTGTGGGCCAACATAATAAAACAAGAGGTGTTATTTTCAGAGCAGTCCTCATGCATTTTCATATTACATCTAAATTTACTTCCTACTGAATAAGTGGTCCACAGGGATATGTTGCTAATAATAACCTAATGCACAGATGCAGTCAGTCCTAAATTCTTTTTTGTGTTTTTCCCTGAATCTCTGAAGAAAGGGTGTGGTTCAAGTTTTTGGCAAAAGCCATGATAAAGTGGGAAAAGTTTTATATTGTTTTGCTTATGATCTACACTGCGGCCTTGGGCAGGTCATGTAATCTGTAACTCCATTTCTACAATTGTAAAGTGGATAGGGGATAATAAATACAGTGAAACATAAGCTTGTGAATGAATTCAGATCTGTGGAGAGGGATGAACTAAAGAAATATCAAATTTTAATTACAATAAAAAATGCTTCATTATTCAAACTTTATTTTTCCTTCTGTAAAGGCTTGTACTTAGTAGGTCTAGATTTACATTTATGTTTTATTAGGAATGTGCTTTTGAAGAGACCCTCTTGGCTGTCTCTATTACCATGCATTAATCCCCAGGACAGTCTTGGAGGATCTGTGAACTGGATTATTTTTAAAGGAATTAAACCAGGAGATTATGAGCTCTTGGGATTCTGCTAATAGACTCGATAATCTGGTGGTCATTTTGCCCATGCCACTAAAGTGCAACTAGCCTAACTAAACTCAGAAACATCACCAAGCATTTCCATTCTTACTGCAAAAATCTGCCAGCTAATATAGACACGTTTAATCATCTTGCTTACACAGTGCTTTGGGAGGGGATGGACAGACAAAATTTAGGCCTCCAGAGAATCAGGATCAGCAAAATATATTTGCTTTTTTTTTTGTTTTTTTTTTTTTTGGTTTAATATGGGGTCCTCAGTTCATGCAATTTATTTATTTGTATGGTAATAATATCATGACAAAGCTCTCTGTACTGCTGCTAGCTGCTCTGGTTAACATAGAAAACAGGGTTGTGTGGGAATGTAAGAGACCCAGTATTTCAATACCATACTGAGGAGAAAGGAATGAAAAAACAGCCTTGCTACCACAAAGAGATTTCCTCTGTTTACAGGCTAACTACATGCAAGGTAAACACTGCCATATTAGCTCCAGTGAATCATCTGTTCTCTCCACTGGTGCAAAAAAACCCCACAACCTGTAGGTACTGTAAGGATACTTGAGGATCCCTGGGAGAATTAACTGGTACAGCCAGGTTTGTGCTGAAACCTTTTTCCCTCTTAAACAAGCTGAGTGCAGTCTTGAGGGTTTTTGTCAAGCTGATTCAGACAGCAGAGCGAGGCTACAATGAGCTAGAGGAGTTTTACCTGTGTTTCCCTCTAGTCGATCAACAGCTTTGCATGATTAGTCAGCAAAGGGGCTACACAAAACATGAGAAAGTTGTTGCTGCAGGATTAATGGACTAAAGCTTCTATTAAAAAAAAATGTTATCCTGTAAAGCTTTTATGCTCAAAGCTTTTCTTTTCAACCAGGAGTAAACTCATCCTTTCTAACCATTCTTCCATTGCCTTAATATTCTTCTTGGGTCTTTTTCTTCTTTCTACTGAACAGAAATATAAATTTAAAAAGCTGATGTGTAAAGAAGGATTAAATAATTTTAAATAATTATACACAAAGAGTGGTCAATGGCTGGACATCACTGACAAGTGGTGTCTTCCAGAGGTCAGTACTGGGACCAGTGCTCCTCAGAATCTTCATCAATGACACTGACAACAGGATTCAGTATTGTCATGGTTTTGTCATTGTTGGTTTTCAGTATTCCACATCATAACATCATGTGGGGCACTGGGAGTCTAACTGTTAATGCTGTTAAAGTTATGGGTACCTGTCCAGAAAAGAAGAACTACATTCCCCAGGGGACTCTGTGGCCACAGAGAGGGGATAGAACTCCTGGCAAGGTCACCTCATGGGCTCTTTTTCGTCTGCTCTTCTTCTGTCAGCTCTCCTCTCGTCATGAAGTTCTCTGGGGGAAAGACCTGAGAGAATACAGTGGGCTGAACTTGTATAGCTGTCATATGCCTACCTTGATACAGTCTCACTGCCTCTGCTCAACGGGACTGGGGAAGAAAACGAAGTGACAGATCTCACAGGTTGTGACAAAGGCAGGGATACAACAGATAGTTACAGTCACGAGCAAAACAGGAAGATGAGTATAATTCACTGCCAACTAAAACCGGAGGAAAAGGCAGAGAACCTATACCATAAACTATAACTGAAGCAACCCCCTGTCCCCTCCCAGGCTGAACTCCTCCTCAGACAGGACGGGGCCTTGGGGAACAGAGGCTGAGGTCAGTCTGTGCAGGTTTCCTTCCACTGCACCTTCCTCACGCTCCCTTGGTGCGTCACACCAGCCTTTCACAACCTCTTCTTGATGACACTTAATTGTCTCCTGGGCCTTTATACGCATCCTTTCTGTCATGTGTTCTACCTCCTCAGTGACTGTTGCTAATTCGGGCCTTCAGAAAAGAGAAAAGAGACAGAAATCCCTGCCGAGGGGTGTGGGTGGTACAGCTGGAGAGAAGAAACAACGTTTTCCAGTCATAAAAATGAGCCCGCGGTGATCTTCCCCCCCCTTTTCCACCGAACACCATCACCTGCCTTACATTTTAACAACAGAACCACGAAGCGCCAAGGAAACTATTTATCAATGGATTAGGTCCTCACAGGCTCATTTTTAAGACAGAGAAATTTGATTTCTTCTTCTCAGCTGCCCCTTTTGTGTTAGCTGCAGGATGCAGATGTGAGCCGGTGCATGAGGAGTACTGCCCCAAGAAGGATCCAGCCTAATCTGCCGCTGCTCTCCAAAAAAATTGCCAGCAGATATGTGTTTCCAATTGGTTGCAACTCTTTTATGTACTTACTGGAATTCAGTGGCGGAGGAAATTTGCGCTAGGGGAAGCTCACTGAAATTATTAGTTCAATATGCCTGCAGAATGAACATCAGTCTGGAGATGCTTGAATAATGCTCCTGTATTTTGAGAGATGAAACAGAAATGTGGACTTATGTCAGGCATGAAGTTTATACTGCAGATCTCACTGAAGCATAGAAAGAAGCTGCACAGGTTTTAAAAGAAATAGAGACTTTTTTTTTTTTTTTTTTTTTTTTTAGATTTGTGGCCAAAACAGTGCTGGCAATATGATGATGCTTCATTTGCTGCTAAGCAGTTCTAGCTCACAGTCACAAACTTCTCTGTTTATCATGCTTCCATACCAGCAAGGAGGCTGGTAGAGCACCAGAGGCTGGGAAGGAACACAATTGGCCCTGGATAACCAAAGATATGTCCCCTACCATATAGGTTGTGCTCAGCAATAAAAGCCTTGGGGCAAAGGAGGAAATCGGTTGTTCAGAGCGATACCATGTAATGAGCCCTGTTTTCCTGGAAGTACCTGGACATTTGCCTTCTGATGGGAAAAAGTGAATAAATTCCTTGTTTTACTTTGCTTGCACGCATGGCTTTTGGTTTGCCTAGTAACCTGTTTTTATCTCAACTCATGACTTTTCTCACTTTTGCCTTACAGATTCTGTCCCCATCCTACTATGAACAGAGTGAGTGAGTGGCTGTATGGTGCTGAGCTGCCAGCCACAGCTAAAACAAAACAGTAAGCTTTGAAGTAGATGCCTGTGTATGCTGTCGCTGATATAGCCCTGACCATCTTGCACTGGTCACGGGTCCTCAGTGAAATGAGCTGAGCAAGTGACAGCATTTAGAGAAGATCTTGTAACACATAAGATTAGTGTCATCCACTAGGTGCAGGAAACGGCTGGAGGGCCATGCTCAGCAGGTGGTGGTCAATGGAGTGAAGTCTAGCTGGAGACCTGTTTCAAGTGGTGTCCCCCAGAGGTCGGTACTGGGGTCCAAACTGTTTAATATCTTCATTGACGACTTAGATGAAGGGATTGAGTGCACCCTGAGTAAGTTTGCAGATGACACCAAGCTGGGAGGTGGTGTGGATCTGCCTGAGGGCAGGGAGGCCCTGCAGATGGATCTGATAAGCTGGATCGCTGGGCTGAGATGAATGGGATGAGGTTTAACAAGGCCAAGTGTCGGGTTCTGCACTTTGGCTACAACAACCCCATGCAGTGTTACAGGCTTGGGGATGAGTGGTTGGACGACTGTAAAGAGGAAATGGATCTGGGGGTGTTGGTTGATGCTCGGCTGAACATGAGCCAGCAGTGTGCCCAGGTGGCCAAGAAAGCCAATGGCATCCTGGCCTGCATTAGGAATGGTGTGGTGAGCAGGAGCAGGGAGGTGATCATCCCCTGTTCTCAGCACTGGTGAGGCCGCACCTCGAGTGCTGTGTCCAGTTTTGGGATCCTCACTGCAAGAAAGACATTGAGGCCCTGGAACGTGTTCAAAGGAGGGCAACAAAATGGTGAGGGGTCTGGAGCACAAGTCTTATGAGGAGTGGCTGAGGGAGCTGGGAATGTTCAGTGTGGAGAAGAGGAGGCGCAGGGGACACTTCACTGCACTGTACAACTGCATGAAGGGAGGCTGTGGTGTAAAAGGGTCTGGTCACTTCTCCCAGGCAAATAGTAGGACCCGAGGAAATGGCCAGAAGTTGTACCAGAGGAGGTTTAGGTTGGATATTAGGAGAAACTTTTTCTCTCAGAGGGTGGTCAGGCACTGCAATGGCTGCCCAGGGAGGTGGTGGAGTCACCATCCCTGGCAGTGTTCAAGAAGTGCCTGGATGAGGAGCTACGAGATGTGGGTTAGTGCTTGTGCTACTGATAGGAATGGGAGGGGGGTTGGACTGGATGATCTTGCAGGTCGTTTCCAACCTTGTGATTCTGAGATACAAAGAACAAATATGTTGCAAAGCAAACAACTGGGTACTGGATAATGGCCAGGAAGCTTATCAGAAGATGCATATATCCTGATGTTTCTAACATTGTCTACTTTTCTTCTCTAACTTTCTCTCCTAATATTCCTTTCCTCCAATTTCTATCTTCTTCCTATCTTTGTTTTTCTCCCTTTCTCTTTCTCTCCTTCTTCCTTTCCTTCTTTCTCTCTTTCTCTCACCATTGGGAGATTTTCCACCAGCATTAATCTTTTAAAATATCACCAACAGTTTGAATTTATGTACATAACATCTTGGCCTGACACACAGTATAAACTATTCTGACTAGATTTCAGGCTGATAGTTAATAGTTAAAACAGGAATCATATTTAATTCATAAAGTTCAGCAAAAGTTCAGGAATTGGTACATAAGTATTAATAAAGGCAAAGAGGCCAAATTGAAGAAAAAGAGATATTAACCATCAGGTCATTTAATAATGGTTTTGTTTTTTTGTGTGTGTTTTTTTGT